AAAATTAATTTTTTTCTTTTTTTTTCCTGGCAAACTTTTTATTAATATTTAGTTGTTGGACCGAACAGAAATAGAATGAGATATTCGAGATGTTTGGCAAAGTTTAAAAGTTTTTTTTTTTTCTTTTTTCACAGAATGAATTTAAAAAAAAAAAAAAAAAAATTATTGAGATTTGTTTCTTTAATTAGTGACACGTGGAAATATTTATTTATTTAAAGCATTTTTTAAATCGCGGTATCGATTGATGAAAACCTTCTCGCCGCTGCCTCCCCTCACCCATCCCCCTCCCTCTCCCTCCTCCCCTATTGCCCCTCGTTTTGTTTAAGTATCATTATTATTATTCTCATAATCGATCGATTTTGAAAATTGCTTCGGTCATGCGAAATGATTTTGAATTAATTATTATTATTATTATTATTATACCTGATGAGAGTGATGGACTCCCGCGAGATGAACCATCTCGTCTGATGGGACTCCCCGAATTTCTCGTACCTTCGGCATCAGACGAATCAGGTTCGGATGGCGATCTTCTTCCTCCCGTTTTCGATGATGAAAAATGATTTAAATTAAGTCCTTGAGTGTCTCTGCTATCGACTTTATCGTACCCGTACCAACCTAATAATTCGTTCATTGCCGTTTCTGCGTATTCCTGTAGGTAGAAAAAATTCACGACGATTTAATTGTTTTGGAAAAAATAAAATAGGTACAAGGTTTTTAAAATGTAAGGAGATATATATTTAGAAAAACGATTCGACGACTCATGATATTTCGGATAAGAAACATTATATCTCCGCGAAGGAGAAAAAAAAAAAAAAAAAAAAAGGTTCGAACTTGCAAAAAAAAAAAAAAAGGGGAACGAAGCGGTGGGGGTGGGAATCGGTGGTAAGGAGAGGATAGGTATATAAATTTCATCCCAGGTCGTTGTTTCAACTGGAAAAGGAACAACACATATAAATACCAATTTTTCATTGTCTAAACACCCGATTCGAGAGAATTTTCCTTCTTGGAAATTTTAAAGGTTCCTATAAAAGCGAATTTGATATGACGAAGGATATCGATTACAGTTTGTGAGTGCGTATTTTGTTTTTCTCTTTGAATTCGATCCTTTTTTCCTGCTGTTGGTTGCTGCGTTCAACAACAACGAATAATAATAATAATAATAAGTTTTTTTTTTTTTTTTTTGGTTAATATCATATTTTTTTTTTAAATAAAAAATAATATTGCAAAAAAATAAAAAACAAAAAGAAATTAAAGGAAATCGAATTTAAGGGGGTTGGGAGGGGGCGTAGGTGTGGATGTGGGGGGGGGCATTTTAATCTCGAGTCGAATTAAACCGTTGGAAAAAAAAAATTTAAAAGATTATATTCGGGAAAAAGATTCAAATAATAAAGAAAATTTATATTATTAATTTAAAAGAGATCAAGAAGAAGTATAAAAAGAAAAGTCCTGTTGGAAAATTTTTATATCAAAAGGAAATTGAAACCGGAAAAAGGTGGAGAAATAGAAAAAAAATATTATTAAGAATTCAAGTTAGGATGATGATGACGATGATGATGATTATGAAGAAGTAGAAAATAAATAGCTTAAAGAGAGAGAGAGGGAGAGAGAGAAAGAGAGAGAGGAAGAAGAAAATCGGAGGAAAATAAAAATAAAATGGAAAATAAAAACAAAAGGATAAAATAATAATAATAATAATGAAGGAAAAACGTAATAAAAAATCCGGAATACAAAACTCTACTACTAATAATAATAATAATAATAATGATGATGGATTATAAAATGGCGGGAAAAAAAGGATATTTCGAAAATTCCTAAAAAAAAAAAATTTTTTATTTAAAATTTACAATATGGCGACGAAATTATTTTTTTACTTTTAATGATATAAATTAAATTTCAATAATAATTAAAAAAAATCCGATTCGAATTCGTTAACATCAAAAAAAGAGAAAAAAGAGAAAAAGGAAAGGGGGAAGGGGGGGGGGGGGAAATTTCAAATATATAAAATTACTTTATTTTACGGAGACTTAATATATATAAAAGTATTATGTTTCCAGCTCCAGCATCGTGAAGTAATCAAATCCCTTTACGTCATTCGATAATATTTATTATTGTATTCTTACGCAGAAGAAAAAAAAAAAAAAAAAAAAAAAAAAATTTTTTGTCACGATCCCGAATTTTATCGTGGTTAGTACCACGACGATGATGACGTCGATGACGATGACGACAGACATCAAAAACCGATATCGCCATATTCTTCGGCTTTATTTTGTCAAAAGAGAAAAAAATTGATTTGATCGCAACTGGAATCGGATACCATATTTTTTAATTGGAACACGATACCACGAAACTTGGTTAATTTATACCAGAATAATCCATCAGGAAGAAGGGAAGAGGGGGGGGGGCAGTGAAAGAAATGCGGCCTAATTTTCATATCCCGTACGAAAGATATATTATTATTATTTTGTTTCATCGACCGTTTCGAAAGATGGAAGAATTGTCGTAAATAAAAAATAAAAAATAAAACGAAATCGTCGTCGTCGTCGTCGTCATTTTAAAATCGTTGAGGCAGTCTCTCGAAACATTTATCATCGTTTTATTCTTCTGACACGGAAATACAAAATATGTCGGTCACCGCCGACATTTTGAAAAAAATAAAAAGAGAATTTTTAATTTATCGTAATTAATTTATTATTAATTCGACAGAACGATTTGAAATTTGGGAGAAAGGGAGGAAAATGTCGCACGATTAATATGATTTTAAATAAAAGCGGGGGGGGACGTTTTTTATCAAATTCCATTTTTATAAAATTTTTTTTTTAATGTCTCATTATAGAGATTCTGTTGGAAAGGTCCTAACTGGGGAACGTTCAAAAGGAAACAAGATATATATTGAGAAATTCGATCGTAATTAGTTGAGATATTTGATATTTTTACTTTTTCAATCAATAAAAAAAATATATGGCAGAAGAAAAAATTAATATTTGATTTGTACGTCGTCCGGTTGTTGTTGTTGTTGTTACTCCGCCATTTTTGTTTTAACATTCGAACTCCATTTTTTTTTTTTTTTTACCTGAGTTTCCAATGGTTGAATTATTATTATTAATGTGTAAACAAGACGAAAATTAAATTACGATGATGATGATGATGATGATGATGATGATGATGATGATGATTATATGAAAATTCTTTTGATTCGTTCGGAAAAAATAAAAATAGAGTTTGATTATTTGGCATAAATAAATTTAAAAAAAAAAAAAAAATTCACGTGCGATTTGGCAATGTGACATATAGTCAAATGTAAATAATAATAATAATAATGATGATGAATCGTTTTTTGGCCTTATTTCCGATTATAATAATAAATAAATAATTTAAAAAAAAAAAAAAAAAAATGGTGATTGATTTCTTTCAAAAAAATATTAATTTTTTTTTTTTTTTTTGGCTTAAAAATCAAAATTTCGCGGTTATCGAAATAATTTTTAACGATTTGACATATATTATTCGTCGTTTTAATTCTAAATTTTAATCCAGGAGCAGAAGAACAGAAAAAAAAGTTTCAGTTTACAAATAGAATTTCATTTGTTTAACAAATGAAAACTATATAAAAGAGAAAATAAATTTTTTTTTTTTGTTTTTGCTTTTGGAATTTGACCCGTGTCGTTTCGTTTTGTTACCACCCCCCCCCTCCCTCTGGAACAACCTTTTTTTTTCATCCTTTTTTTCTAGTGTTTTCACATCAAAAAAAAAAAAAAATACGATCTACCCCCTTTCCCCATCGCTCCCTTTTTTTTTTTTTTTTTTTTCTCGTAATTTGACTCTAAAAGGAGAAGTGAGCTTCATCATTTTTTTCTTCTTCTTCTTCTTTTATTTCTTTTTCTCGAATTTAGTTTTTGCAAATCTCTAAAACTTGAATCAGGGTAATTTGATAGGTGGTGGTGGTGGTTGGTTGTTTGGCTCATCTTTTATTTTTTCAACCCTTTGTAACATTATTAAATAATTACAAAAGGTTTCAAATACATCATTTTACTTTTATTTCATTAAAAATTTATTTTGTGAATTTTTTTATAACAAACAGATTTGATTTGATTTTTGAATGTTTTCTATTATTATTTTGTAATGTTATTGTTGCCAAACTTAATTGATGATTGACTTTGAGGTTTTACAAAAAAAAAAAAAAAAAGAAAAAGAAGAAAAAATTTTTTTTGTTTGAATTTAAAATACTTTACAATTGGACAATTACCTAAAATTTTTAAAATTAGAAAAATGGGAATTTTTTTTTTTTTTTGTTACATGGAATGTTGCCCAGTTACTTATATTTCAATGATTGCCAATCATTATATATATATTTAATATTTAAATAATATTTCCCATATAAACAAACAATTTAAAAACTTATTAAAAAAAAAATTGGCATGAAATTCTTTTAATTATTATTATTATTATTATTCGTTTAAATAAATTTAATTATTATTATTATTTATTAGGCTTTACTGTTAAACAAAACAATATTCGCCATTTATCATAATATGTAAACGTTTCATCATATTCGTGATGTGACGTCATTAGCGCAATGTTTACATCTGAGTTGAAATCGTCGTGGTTATAGACGATGGTTTTTTCAAACCCGCGAAAAAACAGACGACAACGAGGTCGTTTATGAAAGGCTGTGTGAATATTTGAAAATGGAAACGGTGGTGACACAAGCATTCGCGATAATTATTTTTTAAAATCGAAATTAAATAGTAGTTTTTTTCAATAATTAATCGGTGAGAATTTATATTTTTTAAAAAGTGCAACGCGTGTTTTATAAACGTATGAATCAATCGAATCATTTATAATATTTTTTGTGTAATTTAATTGAAATGAAACCTACATACGTTAAATTAGGTTTAGAGTAAAACGAAAAGTGAAAAAAAAAAGTGAAAAAAATGGTGGAAAAGATAAATAAAACAATAGACCATATTGTAAATGTGATATTTTTACAAGGAGTCAAATATTAAAAGTTGGATGTGTATGCAAATTAGTTTTAGTTTGAAATATGATATTATTCCTTGGATATAAATTAGTGACGGTTTTTTTTTCAAGATGAACGTAAGTACAAGTAAAATTTTTTTGGGGTTTTTTTTTTCGGTCCTCACCCCCTACACCCCTTCTTCGTTTAAGTGCTTTAAAAACACGCATTAAACAAAAAGAAAAAATAATAATACTAACTAATGAAAAATTTCCACAAAAAAAAAAAATTTTTTCTTAATCTTGGTTCTCACGTTAAGTTTTAAATTTCTTACAAGTTAAAATCTCATTAAATTTATTTAAATTTAAAAAGAATTAAATATCTTTGACCTGACGTTAATAAAAAAAAACTAAGAGTCCTTTTTCTACTTTTTAAATATTTAATTTTTTTTAAAAAAAAAACTCCCTTTTTGAAATATGATATTTCAATGACAACAAAGATGATGATGATGATGATGATGACTTCTGAACTTTTACATATAATTTCTTTTATATACATTTTTTTCTTTTTTTTTTTTTTCGAAAAACATTTCTTAACAATTGTGACCGGTGTCGAATTACACGTATATATTCACGTAATAAAAGTTAATTTAAAAAAAAAAAAACTGTGAGATTTAACTAGCTGTCAATAATTAATTTTACGCCGCCATTTTTGTTTTTTTTTGAAATTGTAACGGTCGTTTTATGTTCGAATGTAAATTTTCCCATTTAATCATGGCGTTCGTTTTTTTTTTTTTTTTAACGATTCAGACTGTCAAAAAATAAAAAACAATTTTTTTTGGTTATATCTCTCTCACCTTTATCTCATCATCTGGCGTTTCTTTTTTTATCCTAAATTCTTTTTTAACTTCGAGGTGTCCAAATCCCATTCGACGTTCGGAAGACGTTTTCGATTGCGGCCCAGATAATAAAGATCTTGTTCCCATTACGGGAACCGCCGCCGCCGCCCCCGCGTAAAAAAAAAATATTTATTGGGATTTTTTCAAAAAGTCATTTTTAAAAGGGGGGAAAACGAACTATTTGAAATTGAATCAAAAACTATTTCGAATTTTTAAACAAAAATAAATAAAGTAAAATTCGAATCGTTTAGAACGCGCGCGAACTTCCAACTGCCACAATTGAATAACTGAAATGAAAAACTCACGTTGTTGTTGTTGTTGTTCTTGCGGTATAGGAATATTCTTGGCCAAGTTTAAACGCATGCGTAGACTACGTTATCATATGTTAAACATGGGCGCAACATTTAAGACACGTTCACATATTTATATATTACTAAAATTTTCTTCTACTAATGTAAAAATTGAAGTTTAAATTTTAAATAAGAAAAATTAAATTTTACCACGTGACCTTAAAACAGTTAAAAAAAATAAAATAAATTTTTCAAAAAATTTATTATAATAAAAAGTTTAAAAGAGTATATATGAATTTATTGACAAACGTTCAAAAAAAAAAAAAAAAAATGAATAAATCAAAAACATTCTATAGTTAATAAAAAAAACGGGGGGGGGGGCAAGAGGGGGGGGAGATTATTTGATTTGAACTTCTATCAAACTTTGAGTTGTTACAACTCCTTTTCCTGTCACAGAAAAAGGCACACCTTTGTATGTTGCTATTTTTTTCCCATCAGTCTTCAAATCAGGAGCAACAGTTTCGAATATTTTTTTCTTTGGATTTAAAACGGGATCAGGGTCTCCTGGATATCCTTCGACTGTTATTCTATCTCCAGGACAGCTTCCAGGTGGAGGTGTAAGTACTTCAACTTTTTCTGGAGTGCTAGCACATAAAACCATGGCCTCAGATGTGACACCTCTCATTTTAGCAGGTTTCAAATTACATAAAGCGACAACCATTCTGTTTTGCATTTCTTCGATTGGAACATATTTAACCAAACCGCTAACAACCGTTCTTGGTTTGTCTTCTCCCACATCGACTTCTTCTACATAGAGGGAATCAGCATCTGGATGTTTTTTAACATTAATTATTTTACCAACTCTTATATCCAATCTTCTTACATCAACAGGAAGCTCATCTTCTTTTTTCCCTTTAGTCGGTTGTTGCTTGCTACTAGCTTTTTTACTTTCATCATCTGCAGCTTTAACCTTTTCTGGTTTCTTCTTCTCAACTGATTTTTCTTTTTCTTTAGGTTCTTGAGTAACCTTAGGTGGAGGTTCGGCAGATGTTTCTTTTTTGGTAATTGTTGGTGTCAGAACTTGTTCAATTCCTAATTTAGTTTCGGCTTGAATTAATCGTCCTTTCCAAATTTCAATTTCTCTTCTTAGCTTATCGTTTTCCAATTTTATTTCTTCAACCGTATTTACATTTATTTTTTGCATATTTTGTTGACAAAATGCTGCAGCTTTCTGCAATTCAACTACCTAATGACAAACAAATTTAACCATACAATTAATTTTTATAATTTTAATGAAATTGTCTGATTACTTATGATGCAAATTTCATTGTCATATGCATTCAATATGGTTTTTGAATCTGTCATTTAAAATATTTAATTGGTGTACAAATTAATAAATAAAAAAAAAGAGTTCTTATTTGTCGGTTACTAGAAAATGACAAGTAATTAAGGTTTTTGATATAATTTTTAAAGAATGAATATAAAATATCAAAAAATAATGCTCAAATTACATTAAATTTTTTATAACCTCAAAAATTCATTTAATTAAATTATAAAAAAAAGTCAAGTAAAAAAAAAACATGGGTAATTAATTTTTACCTCAGTTTTTAAAGCAGAAATTAAATTTTCAACCTGCGTCGCTCTTGTTTCTAATCTTTGTACAGTATCTAAAGAAGCCATACTTTGCAACGGTTTCAAACGAAATTTGTTAAATACGAATTTAAGAAAGTTGCTGGCCGACATAGGAACGTGCAACAAGCAGGCAAGTTGACGAAATAAACCACAGAACTAAATTAAAATTTATTGGCTAAAAAAAAAATCACTTAAAAATAAATTTTAAATAAATGTGAAATGTTTTTAAAATGAGAAAATATAATTTATTTCACCGTACAAGACGTAATTAATAATTTGGATAAAAACCAAGCCAAAAAAAGAAGCGCGGTAATATTATTATCTTGAATAAAAATTTTCGATTATTAAAACTCGATACCTCGAACGAGTATCGCGATAGAGAAATGAGAAATTAAACTTTTTTATTTCCCCTTAATCATTTTTAACTGTCGTAAGAGTCGATTTTAAATTATTATTTTTCGTTTGACGCATTAAATTTTTTTTTTTTTTGCTTTTTCTAATAAAATATTTAAAAAAAAAAAGGATTCAAATAAATAATACTCGATGCTTGTAACTTTTAAATGAAATAAAATGTTACGTTGGCAGTTTGAATAGTTTCAATATTACAACTCAGTTACAAATATTAAGTTTTTTTAATTATTTTAGAATTAATTATTATTATTATTATTATTAATAATGTCTTCCGGTGACTGGGAAGAAATTAAAAGATTGGCAGCAGATTTTCAAAGAGCTCAACTTAGTTCAGGAGTTCAGAGGTTTGTTGTTGACATATTAATAATATATTTATTGATAACTATCGTGTCTTAATCGCATATGCTTATTATTATTGTTATTGTTGATTTTTACTTAATTTTTTTAAAATTCGAATTCTATAAAATTTTAGATTATCAGAGCGAAATTGCATTGAAATCATCAGTAAACTTATTGAAAGCAGAGAACTTGAAGTTGTGTTTACAACAGATGGAAAAGAGTACATCACTCCGGAACATTTGATTAAAGAAATTAAGGATGAATTATTCGTTCATCAGGGAAGAATCAATTTGGTTGATTTATCGAAAATATTATCAGTCGATTTAAATGTCATTTCGTCGAAAGCAGCTGATATTGGAAAATCAAGTTCTGCGACGACAATTATAAATGGACAGCTAATTCATAATAATTATATTAATTTTCTCTGCGAGGAAATTAATGAAAAATTAAAATTAAAAGGAAGAGTTACTATATCGGAATTATCAAGTCAATATGATTTGCCTAGTGATTTTTTATTAACCATATTTGGAAATAATTTAGGAAAAACAATTATTGCTCAGGAAGATCCACATGACAGTCATGCATTTTTTACAGAAGCGTATAAAATTCGTAACATAAGTCTTGTTAAAGGTGGACTTTTAGCATTAACAAAACCGACTCCTGTTTCAGTTATTTTAAATTTATTCAGTATTGAAGAGCACCTGTTTTACTGTATGTACATTTATGCTTTTTTTTTATTTTTCTTTATTTAAAAAAAAAAAAAAAAAATCAATAAATGTAAAAATTTTATTTTCAGTTGTACTTAATTTTTTAAATAACGATAAAGATGTTGCCGGTACTGTCAGCGGTAAGGAAGGTACAAAATCGATTTTCACACCTACAATATATTTAAAGTCTCAGTTGGAATGGGTTCGAAATTTTTATAATCAAAATGGTTATTTAGAATATAATGTTTTGTCAAATATTGGAATTTCAAATCCTGCTAAATTCATAGAAAAAAATTTTTCAAATTTAAAATTATTCAAATTGGATTCTTGTGCTGTCGGAGAAATTATATTCGATCAAATCGAAGGAGCTCTTGAAGATGTTATTTCAACAGCTACGTTTGTTAACATATTGCCAATTTTGCCAACTATTGCAGATGAAAAAGACGCAGAATTAATATTAAATGAAATTATAAAAAAAAAATCATATAAAAATTTATACGTTTTTGCATCATCCGTAGCTGTCACAGATCAGTATTTGAGAAGTTTGTTTAAAATATTCGACAGTGAAATTGAAAACAAAGCTAAAGAATGTGTCACATCTGGTGCTTATTTTAAATTTATTTCATCTCAAGATAAAAGTGGACATAAAAATAGTTTCGATGATGAAAAAGCAGATTCGAAAGCTGATAGGAAAGAAGAAAGAAGGAGAAAAGCAGCAGAAGGAAAAGGTGGTGGAGGCACTCAAGGAAGAGAAACAAAAACTAAATCGACCAAAAAGAAATATGGTAAAAACGTACAAGACGACGACAGTTCCGACGAACAAAACGCGAAAAAAAAAGATGGTAATAAAAAACTTGAAATTTTGGATTTGAACGACATAAAAGACATTCTGAGAAAAGAAGAACTTCTCGACGAAGAAGATTCGGACGAGTTGATTGATGCCATCGCAGAATATTTATATCCGAAATTACACGGCATGGCTTTGGAAAGCGCGAAAACCATTTTCGAATCAACCCTAGCTTCGACGAATCAAGATAGAAGGAAAAAACATAACGAATTACAAGATAAAATCAACGATTTGGTTCTCAAAGTGAGAATGTTCGAAAAGGGTTACAAACAATTTCCATCGAAAGACGTGCAACAGCAATTGGCGAAATATTTATTAAAAACCATATGCACCGATATAGCAAAAGAAATTTTCACATGCGTCGTCGAAGATGATGGAAAATACGAGGGAAAAGAAATGACACCGGAATTGAGAACGAAAATAGCCAATTCCATGTCGAACGATCGTAAAGAACCGTTACAAACGTTAAATAAAAGTCTTGCAAGTTCTTCCGTTGATGATTTTCTAAATATAATTGATGACGTTGTCGGTCCAGGTTTCTGTGATATCTTATTGAAAAAACCTGATAAGAAAAAGGAAAAGTTTGTATCTGTACATACTGTTGGTGTTTTGTTAAACTTATCGAACGACAGCATTTATATGAATTTGTATTTTTTTTTTCCAGATTACAATTAGTAGAACATCGTCAGAGGTTAATTGACGAATTAAATGTCGCACACGATTCTGCTTTTGTTTTACACGTGGCTTCTTTAATCATTTTCCAAGAGGTCACGCAAACTATGTTGCACGCATCAGGAAAATTCGTATCAAATATTTTGTCATTTTTACAAAGCAGTCTGCCATCGGAAACGTTTAGCGCTTTGCAAAAATATCACGGTAATTATTTTACTCGTCAAAACGAGTTGACCCCCCCAAAAACCTTTTTTTTAATAATTTTTTGTAATTTTCAGATTTGGTTCTCAAAGTTTTAACCACAACAGATTCAGAAGAAAAATTAAAAATCGAGCAATTGTTAGATGATGATATGTTATCGATAAAAGAAACGGCTCTCAATTTTAAAAAAAATTCTGGAAAAGTGACTGATTAAAGCAATCGGTGTATAATTACATTTTTTTTTTTTTTTTTTTTACAGTAAATGAGAGAAAAACATTTATATAAAAATTAAATAAATTATTTAATTGAAAAAGTATGCGTCGGATTTGAATGCGAAATAAATTTTATTTTTTTAAATGTTATGTATATTTTAAAGTTTTCACCAAAAAAAAAAAAGGTTTTGTATATTTAATATATATTTTTATTATTATTATGGGTATTGTACGGTTTTAAATAGAAAAATTGAAAATTTTTTTTAAAGGTTCATAATGAGTTTGATTTTCGATTACCAAGTTTTTTTTTCTATCTGTTGCAATTTTTAAGATATTAATATATATAAAAAAAAAAGATATTAAAGTTAGTACGACATCAATGGAGGTTAATTGAAGAAATAAATGTTGCAAATGATTCTGCATTTGTTTTTTACACGTAGCGTGTTTAGTTATTTTCCAAAAGGATATTTAATAATGCGGAAATATATATATAAAAGGAAGGTAAGAATAAGAGAAAGGTTTTTACAATGTTTTTCAACGAATTTTTTTTTCAAAATGTATTAGGCTGTGTATATTTAACAGTAAATTTTCTTTGGATAATTAAAATGGCGGTAAATTTAAATATGGTAACTAATTAACAATATAAAATTTCAGATAAACTTTTAATTGTAATAACTTCGGAGTGTTTTGAAGCACTTCAGGAATCATATTCGAGTTTTTTTTTTTTTTTTTTTACCTTTTTTACGTAGGAATATTTTAAAATTATTTTACAATTGTAAAAAGATATTATTTATAAGAAAAATTCAGGTATAATTAAAAAAAAGAAAAAAAAGTGATGACGCGGCAAATAAATTTGCCGCATTCACCGGGAAACAGTTAATTGCGCGCGCTTAATAAATTTGGCAACATTGTATTTTAAAATTCAACGAAACAGCATGGAGAGGATGTAGTCACCAAAGTAACGTTTGAACTTCTTTCTCACTCCTTCAAAGCAACGGACCGAAGAACGGTGATGAAAATCATTTTACATAATGAATTCGACAGGTGTAAATGATTCCGACGGTGGGAAAATAGTCGAAAAAAATACAATCAAGATCGAATTAATGAAAAATGGAAATGCCGATACAGTACCTGAAGAACCTGCAACTAAAAGTGTTAGACGTTGGTTCGTTGTTTTAGCTAGTTTTACATGTAACGGCCTTATTTTCGGTTTAATTAATTCAGTTAGTGTTATTTATAATGAATTGCAAAAAAATTTAGAAAATGATGGAGTTGATAATGCAGCGACTAAAGCAGGTAAGCAAGTTAAACATTAATTATTTATTATAAACAGTTTCATGTGTTTGAATTGATAAGCGAAAATTAAAATTTACGTGTATCAAACGTAAATTTTAAATTTTAATTTTTTTTTTTTTTTGTGAATTAACAAATCAATCACAAACTCATCAGATAAGTATTATTATCTATAATAAAACTTATCACTTTAATTAAAAAAAAAAAAATAATGTGTGTATATATATATGTATGTGTGTGGGAGAGATTATCTGTAAAATATTATTGTTAAGCAACAATTAATATTATTATTAATTGTTAATTTTAATTCATTTACACATTATTGTAAAATAAAATGATATTCAAAGTCACATGGGTTATTTTCAAATGAACATACTAATGAGAAGTAATGTGACTAAATAATATTTCATTAGTTTTTACAAGAGAGAGAGAGAGAGAGAGAGACAAACACATGACATTTATTAACTAATACTAATCTTCGAAATCTAATCATTAAAAAAAAAAAAACAGGGGAAAAATGAAAGGCATATATATATATATATATATTAAACAACATAATAATGATATTTTAATCTCAAATTTAATGAAATTTTACCACTACATTACATTTAGCTTTTACATTCATGTTCTTATTTTACTACAACTTGTGGAATTATTCGATAAAGTAATTAAACAAGTGAAGGGAATATTATTATTATTAATGACATTTATGCGACAAATCATATTAAATATTATATAAGAGCAAGTAAGGAAAAAAAAAAAAACCTGGAACATATTCAAATAATAATTCAAACTTATAGTGAATCTTTTATTATTTACCTAATTAAAAAAATACTTATCATTATTATTATTATTATTATTATTGTTATTATATTTTAATTGATAATTAAATGCAGGTAAAGAAGAAGAGGAGGGGGGGGGGAAATGAAAATTTTTTTAAAATTTACTTAATAATAATACCAAGTGTATTAATGTGTTGCTAGGCTTGATTTTATGAAGGCCATCATCTCCTTATTATTATTATTAATATTATTATTAACAACAGATAGAGAATTTGACTTGTAAATTAATAATAATAATATATATATGTATATATAAATAGTGGGCACATGTAAGCATGCATTTGATAATGATGATAGTAATCAATAGATAGTTGGATACAGATTAATGAATGATAAGATATAAAATATTATTCACATTCCATTTGGTTCTTTCTTTTTTTTTTTTTTTGATTCTTTCAATTTAATAAATAATAATTATTATAAAAATAATAAATAAATAAATAAATAAATTTGAAATTTATTTATTGGATAAATAAAATACTCTAAAGACTCCAGGGCAAAAGGGTCATTTATTTATTTATTTATTTAATTTTCTCACCACTGACATAGATAGGGGGAAAAAAAAACTTTAAATTAATATTTTATTGTATTTAAATATTTAAAAGTCAAAGAGAGAGATAGAGAGAGAGAGAGAGAGAGAGAGAGAGAGAGAGAGAGATACGCGATTTATAAATAAATAAATAGGATTTTAGTAGTATAGGATAAATAAGTAGGATTTTCTTCGCACGTAAAAATTATTATTATTATTATTATTATTATTATTATTATTATTATTATTACAACGACGACGATTAAAAAACGTGTCATTATTAAATAATAATAATAATAATAATAATAATATTAAGATTTATCAATTTTTTTTATTGGGTGAAAACTAACATCGTCGTCCTCCATATTTTTTATTTTTATCTACTTCCGTAAAATATCTATCGGGGGGGGTCAAATGTTAAAAAAAAATTTCTTTTTTGTCAATGTTAGGACCCACACGTTACGTTAATTATTATTATTATTATTATTAGTTTTTCTCAAAAAAAAAAAAAAAAATTTCGATAACGTAATTATTATTAATTTTTTTTTTTTTTTTTTAATGACCGATTTAGTCATTTACCTGTATGATGACCTAATTAGAGTTAATTATTATCATTATTATTTCATTCATTCATTCATTCACGTACATAATTATATAGAGTATGCGTGCCTTTTTTTTATGATGGTAGTTTTAAGGTTCAGTAAGGAAAAATTATTAAAAAAAAAAAAAAAAACCTTTTTTTTGGTTCATCAATTTCATAATTTTTAGTTTGTTAAATGATGACTATTATTGACTAATTTAGGTCCTATTATATTTATTAATTAATTAATTAATTATTATTATTATTATATCATTAATAAAAATATGGCGTCTTTAAATAATATTTTATCCGATATAATTTTTTTCTAAAATGTAAAATGAACGTAGTTTTTTTTTTGTTTTGAGTCATCGAAAAGATTTATAAATGTTGACGTCGTTTATTATCATTATCATTATTATTATTATTATTATTATTATTATTATTATTATTATTATTTTAATAAGTTTCATTATTTATTTATTTATTTATTTTATTTATTTTTTATTTTTTTACATCTTTTCATGGCGTGTATTGTTTTTAATTAATCTATTACGTATTAAAAATTTTTTTGCGTTTGTTGTTGTTGTTGTTTGTGTGGTTGTTGTTGTTGTTTGTTGTTGGTATGGTTGTTGTTGTTGTTTTTGTTGTTGTTGGTATGGTTGTTGTTGTTGTTTTTGTTGTTGCGGTCGTAGTACGTAGTCGTATGTTGCCTTGTCAGATTAATTTGTTACCTTGTTTTAAAATCCGGACATTTAATGCTAAAATATTATCTTACATAATTATTATTATTATTTATTTATTTTTTTTTTCATAAACACAAAGCATAATTATTTGATTTGCAAAAAAAAAAAAATAATAATAATAATAATAATGATAATAATAATGAATTTTTTTTTTTAATCTTTCCACACGACGTCATCATATCTTTTTTTTTTTTTCACTGCTGACCTCTCTGACCGAGAGAAAATTATTTGCATCATTTAGCGACATTTGATTATTATTTGAAATCTATACTTTTACTTTTTTTTTATCTGGGAGGGCGAGCGAGGCGAGGAGGAAAAGGGGAGGAGAGGGGGGTAAAAAAGAATGATAGGGGGGAAAAGGGGAAAATGAAAAGGAAAAATTTTTCCAAATTGAGAATAAATGATTAAAAGATTTTGAAATATATTCCAAGGCACGATTCAGGATTTTTTTTTCTCATTATTATCATCATCATCATCATCATTATTATTATTATTATTTCGTTAAGTAATTAATTAAAATTTTTTTTTGTTATTAATATTCATGTTTGAAGTTTTTTTTAAAAAAAAGTTGGTGAAAGGATTTATTAATTTATGTATTCATAAATATGAAAAATTCAATTTTACTACGTATTAAAAAAAAAAAAAAACTTATTTGAATGCCGCCCCGTTCGGGTCAAAGTTCATTCAGATGGTAAATTTATGTTTTTTGTTTTTCGCTTTTTTTTGTGGGTTTGTTCGTGAATTCGAATTCGTCGGAGGCGTTTAAATTTCCACGCTTTTTCTTGACTATTGTATTTTATTACTTGATATGAAATTTATGAGAAAATTATTTATATCATCCCTCGCAATACCTACCGCGTGCGCGTGAAGGTTCGAATGTAAGGTACGATTCAAAAATTAAGGTACGATTGTTTTTTTTTTTTTTTTTCTTGTTTCGTTCGTGTCAAGCCCGATATGTAGAAACGACGAGGGTTTTTTTTTCGTTAATCAGGTGGTATCAGTTAATGAAATTTAAAAGGTCGCCATAGCTAAATAAGTACCATTTAAACGAATGAGAGAGAGAGAGAGAGAGAGAGAGAGAGAGAGAAAAGTTTTGTCACGTATAAGATAAAAGTAATAATAATTACATTATTAACGACGCATTCAAGTTTCCTGAATTATCGGGAAAAAAAAAAAAAAATTTTCAACATGTAAATAAGGCGTTAAATGGTTTTGACGTTCGTTCAAATGAGAGAGAGAAAGAGAAAGAAAGAGAGAGAAAAGAGAAACCGTTTTTTTTGAAATTTTCGTTGGCGAGAAAAACAAAAAAAAAAATTAAATAACAAAGAGTAATAATTAATAATATTAATTTTATTTATTTTTTTGATTATTATTTAAATTGTTAATGTTTCTCCCTCTCTCTCTCTCTCATTCTCTCTCTTTCTGTTCCTCTCTCTGTTTTTCTCTCTCTCATTCTCTCTCTTTCTGTTCCTCTCTCTGTTTCTCTCTCTCTCTCTCTCATTCTCTCTCTTTCTGTTCCTCTCTCTGTTTCTCTCTCTCTCTCGTTCAGGTTTTCAGTTGTTTTCTTTTTTTTTTTTAATAAATATTATTGTTTGTACTCCCTTGGTGTGACATGGAAAGTGTCAGTTTTCACAGGCTTTTCTTTCCTTTTTCTTTTTTTTGGAAGAAGATGTTTTATTTTTCGTTACAAAAACAAATTATGGACGGTGTGTGTGTGTGTGTGTGTGCGTGTGCGTGTTTACTGATAAAATCGAATCGTTATCAATGATAATGGAGGAGGAGAATCAGTGCATAAAAAATTTAAAAAAAAAAAAAAAAAAATTTTTTTATAAATTACAATCGATTGCAAAATTGAGAGAAAGGAAAGGAAATACGTACGGAGGATTCTCGAACGTAAAATAATAATAATGATAATAATAATAATAATAATAATAATAATAATAATAATAATAATATAGTAATAATAGTAATAATGATAATAATAATAGTAATTTTCGCGCACGTTTGAGTTCATTGTTTTTTGTTTTTTCTTTCCATTTTTTTTTTAAAATGGCGACAGACTTTTTTTCTCTTTAGGATATTCGGAATTTTCTTTGTATAGAAATATCTCACATCGCAAATCAAAAAACGAATCGATTTATTATTATTATTATTATTATTATTTCTAACTGAAAAGTAAAAAGTCATTGAAGCAATAATAATAATAATTTTCTCTCATTTTTTCATAACGGGTTGTCGTAACTTAATAATTACTTAATAATACATAATTTGGATTTATTATTATTACCCGACTCGATATTTAAAAAATTATAAATAAATATCATTTAGTTTTTTTTTGTATACAATTGAAACGAAAGAGAAAAAAATTATTATTATTATTATTATTTCTTCTTTTTTTTAACCTAAATTTCGAAAAAAACCCGAAAGGGGGAAAAAAAAAAAATTGATAATAATGATTGCCTTATTATAAAAACAACGAATGTCGTCAACACTGACGACGACGACGACGAGGGGATTCGAATTGATACGCGGTATTAAAATAATAATAATAATAATAATAATATCAATGATTTAGATAACGTCGTAAATTCATTTAATTAGTTAGAGAGAGAGAGAGAGAGAGGGGGGGGAAGACATTCTCAAATTAAATAAGGAATTTTCCATTTAAAAATAAATAAATAAATTTTTTTTTTTTAAAACAATATTAAGTATCACGAGTTTGTTTAAACTCGTCAAAGGTCGTTTTTTTAAAAAAAAAAAAAAGAAATAATAAGGTTTTGTTAAAATTTATATTAATAATAATAATGATAATAATGATAATGATAATAAAAGAAGAAGAGTACGGGTCGAATTTTTTTTTTTTTTTTGTTTTTCTCTCTCTCTCTCTTTCTGTCTCACGGGCGTGTGTGTCGTCTGAATGGATGATGAAAAATGGCGGAATTTGTTAATTCACACGTTACTACGATTCTTTTTTTTTTTTTTTTTTGTGCCCAAGGACCGAATGATTTATGGATAATTTATTAATTTATTTAAAAACCCCGTTAATCTTTTAATGTTTACAAACCGTCAATTTATTTATTTATTTTTATTTATTGTTTATTTTCATTCCTGCGAGAGGGATATACCTGAAAATAAAAAAATTTTCGGTTCGTTTTTTTTTTTTTTTTTTTTTTTTAAATTCTTTCCCCCCCCGTGTAATTAAATAAATATATAAAGTTTAAAATGAAGGAAAAAAAAAAAAAAATTGTCGTTACCCTTGAACGTGGAGGAAAATTTAGCATTTAAAAAAAAAATAAAATAAAATAAAAAGTTTTAAAAGTTGATGATGGAATGTGGAAATTCTTGTGCGTGTGTGTGCGCGTGTGCGCGCGCGCTTTTACCGAATTAAAATGGAATGGATCGATGAATCGATCGAACGATCGATCGATCGATCGTGTCATCTTTCGACACACACGAAAATCTGGAAAATAAAATATTCCAGCAAAGTTTAAAAAAAAAAAACGATGTTTTTTTTAACTACGTCACAAGTTTTTTTTATTGCGAATATATTAAACGGCAGGTTGTCGAAATAGAGAGAGAGAGAGAGAGAGAGAGACGTAAAAGAAGTAGGTCTTGAATGAGTTTAAACAGGAGGTATCAAAACGAACTTGAAATCACATAAATGATAATAATAATAATGACGAGCGAGACTGGAAATAGTCAATGATTTTTTTTTGTACCATGTTTACGCGGAACCTGCCTGGTTTTTTTCGCAAAGGTCGTGTTGTGTGCGTATGAAAGCCATGCACGTGTGTGAAACTTGAAAAAAAGATGATTCTATAAGAAAGAGAGAGAGAGAGAGAAAATGAGAGGGAGAGAGAGAGAGAGAATGAGAGGGAGAGAGAGAATACCTTGAAATATGCAATATGCGTGCAAATAAACAAACTGCATTCTTGATCAGTACATTCGCCTTGGATGAATGGTCCATACGCACGAAAAATGAACGAACGGACGAACGTACGAATCTAGTACGAATGGTTGAAATTTTCGAAAAAATAAATAAATTCGACATGTTGAGGTTATATATATATATATATTTGTCGTAACGTGAGAAGGGGAAAATAATAATGATGATGATGATGAGGAAATGTTCCGACAGATTAAAATCGGCGTCGTCGTCGTCGTCGTCATTCATCAACAGAAATGCACGCATGCATGTTAAAATGCATTTTAAAATGAATAGGAAGAGAAAGAGAGAATGAAATAGAATGGAAAAGAAAATTAATTACTCGTTGATTTTTGTCTTTAATTTTTTTTTTTTTTGGCGGGGGGGGGGGTGAGGGCTCCCCTCATACGTTGTTTGCAAATTAATAAAATGGCCTTTTTTTCGTTTTTATTTGTGTTTGTTTTTGTTTTTCTTTTCTTTGTAATTTGAGTTTGTCTGCTTTGTTATTGTATTTTTGTCTCGTGTCGAAAAAATAAATAAATAAAATTTAATTTATTAAGAGAGAGAGAGAGAGAGAGAGAGAGAGAGGGGAGGGAGGGAGAAAATAAATTAGAAAAAGAAGAAAAAATTATTTGTTATTAAGCAAGGTAATTTTAGACGCAAGGTTGCGAATGGTAATGGTGGTCTCGAAGCGTAAAAAAGGTTTAATATATGTTTTCACTCTCTCTCTCTCTCCCCCTCACTCTCTCAAAGTTGTTTTTGTCTATTAGGTCTAACCAATGGCGTTTTATCATTTGTCAATCAAAATTTACCTTCGTGATAATAAATACGACAAAAAATAGGTTGTACTACTACTACTACTAATACTACTACGAAATGACGCAGTTACGAAAGGTCACCTGTCCATTTGGTTGATAAAGGGATTTATAATTTTTGTCGTCACTTCCTGTTAAAACAGGATTAAACAACAACAACAACAAAAAGAAAAAAAGTTTTTTATTATTTCCACGTCCTTTTACCAAAAAAAAAAAAAAAAGTGGAAGAAGAAAAAGAATAAGAAAAAAAGTTTTCCTTTTTTTTTTATTTTTATTTCGTAATCGAAATATTATTATTATGATCATTATTATTATTACTATGATTGATAGAGTTGAAATTATGGAAAAATATTTTGGAATAATTGATTTGTTTAGGCAACGCCTAGAGGATTCCAGACGTCTTATGTGTGTCTGTGTCTGTTTTTCTCTCTCTCTCTCTCTTACAAATTATAGTGTGGTGTTCTATCTGTGTGTGTGTGTCTCTTATTTTTTTTTTCCACGGGTTTGTACCCTTGAGAACATACATAATAAGACAAAACAATGCCTGGAAGGCTCGTTGTGTGTGCCACCTTAAAAAACAAAATACGATTTTGGAATTTTTATTTTATCCCTTTATAATAAAGGAAAATTTTTTCCGGTTTCCTTTTTTTTTTTCGCATCCGAATTTCAGAAATAATAATAATGAAAGCGAGGTCGGAATTGATAAGAGAGAGAGAGAGAGAGAGAGAGAAAACAAATTCAGGTTCAACCTTTATATTTATAACCTTTTAAATTTTAGGTTCAAGTTGTACCACGTTCGTCCTTTGATACACCAAAAAAAATTTGAAATTTTTTCATTTTTCGGATTTCTTTCTCTCTATCTCTCTCTCTTTCTCTTCCCTGCTTCTTTCAGGGATTTTTTTTAAAAAGTGAACCTTAGGTCTTAAGTTATCGGGATGAGGCCGGCACACGCGGCGGGTTTATTTATCAATATGATAACGTGATAGAAAATTGGTAAAAAAAAAATTCAACGCCGACGAAACATTGACCGCGACCTTAAATCCTGTTTTTTTTTTTTTAAAATAAATTTATTATTATTATTATTATTATTATTATTATTTTTTCCTTTCTTTTTATTTATTTATTTATTAAATTATATAATTAATTATAATGGGACGTAATGGGAGTGGCGAGGAAAAATATTATTAGAATATATTTGAATTTATAATACATGTAATCGTTATCATTATCATTTTTTCGGACACATATTAAATGATAATGATAATGATAACAACACAAGTGACGTCAAATCGTTTCTGTGAGTGACGTCAGATTATGGCTAATGAATTTAAAAAATCAATTGATTTACGATTATTGTTGTTGTTGTTGTTGTCGTTTTTTCTTTTAATCAATTCTGTCGTCCGATAAGAGTATCATCATCATCATCATCATTGTCACCACCATCGTAATTTATTAATAATAATAATAATAATAATAATTGAATGAATGATTGATTTTGTTACAGCTTTGGTGGGGTCTTTGGGAATCGGAATGACATTTTTCTTATCTCCCGTCGCCGGAATTCTAACGGATCAAATAGGGATACGAATGACGACATTCCTCGGCGGTACCTTGGCCATCGGCGGCCTCGTTCTCTCATCGTTTTTCTCAAACAACGTAAATCTCTCTCTCTCTTTCTCTCATACTTATAATAAATAATAATAATAATAATAATAAAAGTTGGATTTTTTTTTTTTTAAACAGGTCGAAGTTTTGTACGCGAGTTTTGGTATCATTCTCGGAGTGGGAGCTTCTTTGGCATACAGTCCATCATTGATCATACTCGGTCATTATTTTACGAAATATCTCGGAGTCGCAAACGGTTTTGCCACGGCCGGAAGTTCCGTTTTCACGCTCGCTTTCCCTTATTTCCTTCAAGCTCTCATCGATAATTTCGAATTGAAAGGATGTTTTTTGGGCGTATCGTTTTTGATGATTTTAATATTAGGTAACTATCATTATCATTATAATAATAATAATAATAATACCGTGCAACTCGCGCGTTTTTTTGTTATCAATGTGAGATTTAAACAAAGCTTTAAAAAAGACTTTGTGAGATTAATAAGAGAGAGAGAGAGGGAGAGAGAGAGAGAGAGAGAGAGAAGTGCTTCGACCTCAAAATGACTAAGTCTTTTATGGCGCGAAACGATTTTTTATCTATTTTTTCTTTTTTTTTTTTTTTTTTTTTCATATATATACATACGATAACCGATTTTTTCCCATAAGTTGAAATTAATAATAATAATAATAATAATAATAATTAATAATAATAATGCCCTTTCGATCGAGTAAATGTTAAAATGATTAAAATTGCGTGTGTGTAAGTTTTTACTTAGGGTATGATAATTAAAACAGGTGGAAAAAGAAATGGAAAGGAAAGGAAGAGATAGATCGAAGGTTGCCAACTTTAAGTATTTAGGTTGTAGGGAAAGGGAAAAGAGGAGGAGGAGGGGGGGGGAAATGGAACCGGATACGGATGCGGATGATTTAAAATAAAATAAAAAAAAAAAAAACATTTCAAAAATCAAGATATGTTAAATTTAGTAGGTCTTTCTCGAACGACAATCATACAACCTTGGAATCGTAATTTTATTTCACCTTAATTTATTTATATATTTTCATTCAGAAATTTTAATTTTCTCTCATAGTGAATGGCGCAACAATAATTTTCCGTCATTGAGTAGAAGGAAAAAAAAGAAAAAGAAAATTTTTAAAGGGCAAAGCTCTTGTTCGTTTTATCTCTCTCTCTCTCTCTCTCACTCTTTCTAAAAGTAAAACATATATAACGTGGGTAAAATGCATGCATTATGCATGATAATAATGATTGTTGCTTAAATTCCAGCTAAAGCTATAATCGTCTGCTAAAACTTTCTTTTTTTTTTTTTTTTTTTTCAGTTTGTGCCTTAGTTTTCAAACCCGTTTTGAAAAAGAGTCCGAAACCGAAGAAAAGACACGGATTCACGTTCAAATCAAAATTTAAATCGATAATAAACGTCGAGATATGGAAGATAAGAAAATTTTTAATATGGATAATCGCACTTCCGGTTTCACTCTTCGGGTATTTCGTCACTTTCGTACATTTGGTCTCGTATGTGAACGTAACGTTCAACGAAGAATACGATGGTAAAATATTAATTCAATGCATAGCTGCCACATCACTTTTGGGTCGTTTGATATCCGGAAAAGTTGCGGATTTTAAAAAAGTTAACACTATCACGTTACAACAGGTTAATAATAATAATAATGATAATAATAATAATACGAAAGTCGTTTGAACCGGGTATTTTAATTAATAATAAATAAAATAAAATAAAAAAAAAAAAAAAAAAGTCGTTAGGGAAAAAATCACATAACTTTTATTCGTCGTCGTCGTCGTTGTTATTATTATCATTATCATCGAGTTTTGTTTTTTTTTTGCAGATATCGTTTGTGTGCCTTGGTTTGTTGACGATGTTGATAGCCGTAGTACAAAATTATTATGGTCTCATAGTTATTTGTCTTTCTATGGGAATATTCGACGGTTGTTTCGTGAGTCTCATGGGTCCGGTTGCTTTTAAGATATGCGGTCAAAAGGGAGCATCTCAAGCGATTGGATTTCTATTGGGTTTATGTGCCATACCGATGACATTAGGTCCTCCGATGGCGGGTAAGGCTTTATCACGGCGATAAACAAAAAAAAATTAAAAACGAGTCGTAAAACGACATTTTTTTAAAAAAAAAAAATTTTCGGTCATTTTGTAGGGTTCATATTTGATCAAACGGAGTCGTACACGACGTCTTTTATAATAGCAGGATCAACGTTTCTTCTCGGTGCTTCAATAATGCAATTAATACACTGCGTAGGCGATGATAAGTCGGATGATGATATTATAATAGAACCCGTTTCCGTGCCCTTGAAAAGGGAACTTGAAACTAATGAGGTAAATAAAATATTTTATTTTATTTATTTTATTTATATAAAAAAAAAAAAAAAAAACGTTGTTTACTCTTTGGTTATCATGCATCATGACCAAAAGGAAGGGCAATTTCTTTCTTTGGGGTTATTAACCGCGTCATCCCCCTTTTTCTGTTCAAGTGTCACGAACAACATCCGGACTAAATAAGAGTGGGAAGGAAGATGTCAAGGGGAGAGAGAAAGGGAGGGAACGAAGGAAAAGGAGGGAGAGAGGGAGGGAAAGAGGGAAGAGGAGGAGGAGGTAAAACTCCTAAAAGCGTCACACAGATATTCTTATTATTTTAATTGGGCGATGATAAGATACGAAAGAATCGAACCAGTTTTTTTTTTTTTTTTTATTACTTTGTTTGTTTGTCGGTTTGTTTGTTTTTAATTCTATATTTAATACCTCGGAAAAGCGTTTAAATCCTAATAATAATAATAATAATAATAATCCGTGGGATTAATTATGAATTTAAAGGGGGAGAGAGAATTGAGACTCCCCCGATTTAATTTCGACTATTGTTTGTTTTAAGATTACAATTTGAGAGGGGAGGAGAGGGGGAGAGAGAGAGATAAAAAAAGGAATTTATTACTTGATTTTAGGGAGATGATGAAAATTTGAACGGTTTGATTTGTTTCAAGTATTTTTTGAATTGAAAGAAAATTTTTTTTTTTTTTTTTTTTTTTTTTTTTACAGGACGGCGGAAAAATCATTTAAAAAAAAAAAAAGATAAAGAAAGAGATGGGTAAAGGAGAAGGAGATAGAGATAGGAGTAGAGATTTTAATAAAAAAAAAAAAAAAATGGAGCGAAATCAAAAATTAAAAGAAAAAAAAAAAAAAATGAAATGACCGTCGGAGGAAAAAAAGGCCATTTAAAATGCCATTTAAAAAAAAAGAAAAAACCTAATCATCGAATTAATTATTATTAGTATCAATACTATCATCATCATCATCGTCGTCAAGGGGGATATCGCCGGAAGGACGATTTAATTTTTTTTTGCTGCTCAATATGTTTTTTTTTTTTTTTTTTTTTTTATAATAACCGGAAATGGAGGACGTGGTGTGGGAAAAGTCCTGAAATGATTTTTTTATCAATTAACTTTGAGTCAATTAAAATTATCGATAGATCGATTGATCGATCGATTTTTTTTTTTTTTAAACGGGGACCTAATTAAAATGCATTTTTACCCCAAAAAAAAAAAAAAAATTGCATTTATATAAACAAAAACAAACGAAGAAACAAACAAACAAACAAACGCGAATTAAATTATAAACAAACAAAATAATAAAAAAAAATCATATCGTATTTATATTTATATTAGTTAAAAAATATCAAAAGTTATTATTATTATTATCTTATTGTTGTTATTATTATTATTATTATTATTATTATTAATATTATTATTATTATCTTATTGTTATTATTATTATTATTAATTATTATTATTATTAGATCGGTTGGAAAATTATAAAAGAATTTAATTTACCCGATTAAATAACGAAAAAGGGAAAGGGATGAGGGGGAGGGGGAGGGGGAAAGGGAAGAGGTAAAAATGCAATAATGTTTTCATGATATTTAAATAATAATGATGAATCGTCAACGGGGAGAGTGGGGGGAGTGGGAGAGGGATCATTCGCTCACGTAAATAATAATCATTTGAAGGACGAACGAACAAATGCAGGAGTCGCGCTTTTAAAATTTATTATTATTATTATTATTATTATTATTATATTGAAATCCTTTAAATTTTTTTTTTATTTTAATAATTAATTAGTTGTTAATAATGATAATAAATCGAGTAGTAAAAACAAACAGGGTCGGAGTAAGGGAGGAGAAGGAGGAGGAAGAGGGAGACGAGTGAGAAAAATAAAAATTTACGAATTTGAAAAAAAAACAATTGTTGTAAATTTAAAATTTGAAATCAATATTATTATTATTATTATTATTATTAGCGTTATTATTATTAATTATTATTATTATTATAGTTCGAGGACGGTAAATTGAATTGTTATTAACTTTCACTTATTATTATTTATTTATTAATATAAAATAATCGGGTGAATTGTGAAATGACATACCCTTAATTTATTTTAAATCAAATAATTTTTTTTATTTTTTTATTTTTGTTAACTTTGTTTGGGGGGTGGGGGTGAGAGGGAGGAAGGGAGAGAGAAGTGGGCGGTATCTCGGGGGGAGGGGGAAATCGAATCGATGGAAAAAACGAATGCAATGTTTGACTACCTCATATTTTTAAATAAAAATTAATTTTTATTTTATTTTATTTTTTTTTTAAATCAATTGAAATAATAATAATAATAATAATAATAATCGTTATTATTATTATTATTTATTTATTAATTCGAATGCAATTATTATTATTATTATTATTATTATTATTATTATTACCACGCCTTAAACTTTGAAATTATTGTTATTGTTGAAGTTTTTTAAATGTTATAGAAATTTATTTTTATAAATTTTTATTTTTTAATTTTTTAATTATTATTATTATTAATATTATTATTATTAATTGAAATCATAAGGAGGAATGGAGTCGATTGCTGCTTAATTGTTGATTGAAATTTAAATTTATTATTATTTTTAATTAAAAAAAAAAAATTTTTTTGAAAAAATAATTTGTTCCGTTTTATTTAATTTAAAACCTAAAGTGTCGTTTGTTTATGTTTTTTTTTTTTTTTTTTTTTTTTTTTTAAATGGAAAATTGTATGTTATTCAGTTTTTAGGGTTGGGAAAATTTTTACGTCACACTTTTTCAGGGAACTTTTTCATTTGATAAATTTTGATAAGGAAGAATGATAAGGTTTTCACACGTATCGAAGAATATGAACGATTGAAATATCAAAACAAAAAAAAAAAAAATTTTTTTTAAAGGAAATACGTCATCAATTTACATTCACTTCGCTTAATATTTGGTGAGTATGAGGAAATGGAAAATCTTTTTGAAAAAAAAAAAAATTTAAACAATAATTTGTTTATAAATTTTATTAATGAAAAGTTAACATTATAATTAAATTATATTAATTTTTTTTTTTTCAGATTATTTTCACGGAATGAAAAATTGAAAAAGACGTTCGTTAATGGTGTGAATCAGTTACGTAATAATTGTAAAAAAAATATTTTTAGTACAAAACTTAAACAAAAGTTATTTTCATATTATTAATACGCAATTCAAAAAAGGTAATGATAATGATAATAATAATAATAAATATTTAATCGTCGTCCATTCCTTCGGGTGGTTTATTTTTCGGACCTCCAGCTCTTTTCGCCATAATTATTTGATCTACTTTGAGAATGGTACAAGCCGCATTCACTGAATATTTTAAGGCCCAATATTTTGTAATAAATAAATCTAAAATTTCATTTGCAGCCGCATCGAAAATAAGAGTGTCCTTCTACAAGAAAAAAAAGATTAAATGAAGAAATTTTATGAAGGGAATTATAAATGATCGAAAACGAAAGTCAAAAATGTAAACAAAGGGTGGCAAAATATTTACCTCGACATCGAATCCAAAATTTTTATTTCCTTCTTCGTGAGAAGCGTAGAGTTTCGTTATCACTTCATTGGCATTCACGCCAGAATTTTCAGCCAAAGTTTTTGGAAATGTTTCCAAGGCGTAGGCAAATCTTTTGATTGCGTATTGATCGAGACCCGGACGAGTATCTGCAAATGATGAAATTTGTCTCGCTAACTCAATTTCAGTAGCTCCAGCTCCAGGTAAGAACCTTCCATCCTACAATTCGAAAAACATTAAGAAATAAATCATGTATTTAGTTTTCTATATAAATTTTTTTTTTTTTTCTGCGTTTCCATATATTTTTACCCTAGTCATTGCTTTAAAAGTATTGACTCCATCATCTATGGCTCTTTCAATATCATCCATGTAGTTATCGGTAGAGCCTCGAATAACAATCGTAGCAATTCTTGATTCCTTTCCATTTATTTCAAAGATTGTTACAGATGTTTCTCCGACTTCATCGACAAAAACAGAATCGGCATAACCAATTTCTTCTGCTGTAGGAGGAGTCTAAGAAAAAAACAACAATTTGTGGTAAGTATGTTTTTCACATGATCATTTTTTTTTTTTCGGTCGAAAAGAAATTGTTCAAATTGTACTTGAGAACATGGTACTGACCATTCTTGGTAAAGCTGTAGCACCAACTGTCTTACATATTCTCCTCACATCAAATTTGCTGTTAAGTCTTACCCCCATCAAATTATACTTGTTTAGGTAATGAAGAGCCATGTCTCCGAATTTACCACCGGCCACGATAACATTTACTCCAGTATCAGCAATTGCTTTTATTTGACTTTCTAGCAAACATTCCTCTCCTCTGCTGAAATCTTTCAATTCCTCAGCAGTTTTAATGAGAACAGTACCTTTGGTTTCAGTTTGAGAAATATCAATAGGACAAGTGTACACTGCAATTTTTGCATTGGTTTTCTTGGTGACATCACCCTCGACAAATCTTTTAAATACCATTCCATTAATTACTTGAGAACTGTTGAGACCAGCACCGAGAATTTTACAAACCCTAATATTGTCTACATTGAAAGTTGTTTTTTCAGGCAAAATACTGATACAGGCTTTAGTGATAAGACTTGTTAAAAAGTCCTCTTGACCAAATTGTTTACTCATAATGGCAGTTTTTATTCCCTTAGTAACATTTTGTTCATTTTTGGCATCTTTAACTTCGTAACATGTTAAACTCGGAAGGATTTCCAATGTTTTTTCTAAAGCTAATTCGTACCCTTGGGTTATCTCGCAGGGAGTCAATCCCATTCTTAACATGTCTTCTGCAGCTTCTAACAAGGCTCCGCAGAATATTATCACAAAATTAGTTCCATCTCCAACTTCTTGTTCTTGCATTTGTGATGCAAGAATCATTAACTTGGCTGCTGGATGTTCAACTTCTAATTCTTTTATAATTGTAGCCGCATCGTTGGTGACGAATAACTTTTCGAGATGATTAATAACCATTTTATTCATTCCGTTAGGACCGTAAGCAGTTCTGACAGTCTGGGCGAATTCTTTACAGGCAGAAATATTTCGAAAAACTGCTTCTTCTAAACCTTGAAAATACTGCAATTATACATTAAAACAAAAGTTAATTGAAAAATTAAACACAGTAGGGATTGTGCAACAAATAAAAAACGTGCCGGGTACGCAATTTGTTATTATTTACCAAAAGTTTTTTAACTTAAAATAATAAAATTACTATATGTAATACATACTCTTGCTCCATCTTTCAGCATTTGCATAACACCAGGAGGTTTAGGAATTGATAAAGCCATTTTGAATAGAAAATAATATAGCTACTAATTCGAAATCTGAGTCACCCACAAGTTTTAAGTAACAATGGCAGATTGAACAAGGTAGGCAACCTAATTTTTTTTTTTTTTTAAGTTGTAAAAATTAACAACCGAAGTTTTCTATTGACACGATAAAATTTACGCAGAATTTTACATTTAAGAATGTAATGTCGTCTACTCAAGTACTCATGATAATTTGAATAATTTTTTTTTTATTTTTATTTGAATTTTAAAAATAATAATTTATAATAATTTTGTGCTTTTATTTTATAATGATTTACATCTTCATTAGCAGTAAACGTATTACTAAAGGTAAATAAATCATTTAAAAAATTATAATTTTTTATTTGAAGTTTTTTTAAAAAAAAAAAAAAATTTATAAAAACATGCTTATAAAAAAAATTAATTAAAAATTATACAAAAAAAACAATAATTTAAAAATTAATAGGAGTTTTAAATGAAACCCAAACGTTATTTTTACAATTTTGCTTTAAATTTAAACATATCAACTTTTGTAATGTGGCTTTTTGAACAATATCAAAACCAATTTTTCCACCAAAGGTTGAGGATTTCCAAAACTCTGATGTTCCTATTGGATTGCTTAAAATCCCTCTTAAAGCTACAGGACCAGATAATAAAATCATTGTAGGAGGTATAACTGTATCTTTGTGTTTTTCCAAAAAGCTTCCTGAATGAAAAAAAAATAAAATTAATTAATCATTTTATTTTTTCTAACATGAAACTGTAAAAAGAGAAAAAAAACTAACCGACAACAAATTCCACAGCATCAATATCACCATACAAATCCTGTAATATTTTCCCAATTTTTTTATCTCCTGTTAAATCTTTAAAACTAGAATAAGGTTTTAAATCGAAATATTTTCTGTAATCATTAAACGAATGAAGTCTACTCTTTCGTCCTTCTTCGATCAACTGTTTCATAACATTTCCAAATGTTTTTCCAAAATTTTGAAAAGTCACCTTTATAAAATAACCAATTACTTATAATACTCCATAAAATAACAAAAACCTTATTTTAAAAAAATTTGATTTCAACCTGTCCAGCAGGAGTTCTTCCCATCAAATCGATAACAGCATCTAATCCGTGATCGAAAACAATTCTATTATTACTAAAAACTAAATCTGATAAATTATAATGATGTCCTTGAATATTATATGAATCAGGTAACATTTGATGCCAATGAAAAGGTAAACTAAATTCAAACTGCATATCATCATTAAATGTTATGGGTTCGTTATGAATAAGATTAGGTTTGAAAATCAATTTCATTTTATACTGTGCCAAATGTTGAATATATTCTTCAATTGTTATCGTTAGTAATTCACCTATTTAAAAAAAAAAAAAACACTCGATAAATATTCAATTAATTAAATTTTTTTTTTTTTTTTCAATCTACAATTATTATTTTCTCACCTAATAATATTTTTTTAGCAGTTTGATAAAGTTTTTCATCATTCCATTCTGGATATTTTTTAACAAGAATTTCACACACACGATTATGTTCTCTTAACCAAATGGTTGCCATTGAAAACATAAATGGTGTAACACTAAACATTTTATTTGTCATTGCCCATTTTGGAAAAACCGTTTTCTTACCCTTTGGCTAAAACAAAAAAAAAAAAATAATTAATATTCTTCTTATATCGATTAATCAAATGAATTATTAATCAATCAATTATTAATTAATAATTACTTTCGGATAATACATTGAAACCGATGGTTCATCTTCTAAATACGGTGGAAATTCTTGTCCGTTAATTTTTCTCGTTTTAAATTTTCCATTTATACCGCTCCTCAATGTTTTCACATTATTTTCCGATTCGTTTAAATCATCGTTATAAATATCGATAAAATTATTATTATTATTATTATTATTGTGGTTGGATGATTTTATTTTTAAAAATTGATAAGCTAAATATTGTGAAAATGTAGCAAAAATTAAATTTGTTTTCAACGGACACGGTTTAAATTGATTTCTTAAAAATAATTTTTTATATATGTAATCGATATCGGGTAATTTTGACGGTCCTGTAAATAAATCCATTATTATTATTATTATTATTATTAACAAACAAAATTATTTAAATTGATGAAAAAAAAAATGAAAACCTTTGATTCCCAATGGAGTGGGACATTCGATGGGTACAGGAGGGATTCCTCTTAATAAATAAGAATTATTATTAAATGAATTTAAAAACACATAATTTTGAGTTAGGGGCCAAACGGGAAACGAACCTAAATCATTTGCAGCTAAAAACAAGAAAATTTAATTAATTTATTTTATTTAATTAACAGTAATAAATATTCCTTAAAAAAAAAATTTTTAATTTGTTGTTACATTTATAAAATTGTCGTAGGAAACAATCGTGTAAAAGGGGAACGTTATTTATAATTGACCAAAATAATCTTCCGGTTAAAGCAAATTTTTGTTTTTTATATTGATTTAAATTTATTAAATTTCCAAACCATTTAGCAAGTGTAGCTGAAAGTGAAAAAGAAAAACAAATCGAAATATAAATAAATGGGAATGGGAACGGGGATGAGAATTGTAATAATAATAATAATAATAAAAAAATGTATATATATTATAAAGTAACATTTTTCACAATTTTTCCCGTAATATCCTGTAGGGCAAATACATTCATAAGTAGAAGAACTAACAGGACTACATATTCCTTTGTGTAAACAAGGCATGCAACAGCAAGGATTATCCCTCTCATAATTTGTACGAATTTTAATTCCACATCCAATTACAATAAATATACTAAATAATAACAACACCTTAAAATCCACTTGAATTGACACTAAAACATAAAACATAAAAAAACATCGTTATGATAATAATAATAATAAACATTTTTCATTCCAAAAAAAAATATATACATACTTTCATGTTAATTATTAACTTATAATTTTTTTATTTCAAATAAAAAAAACAATAATTTACTTTAATAAAATAAATAAATTTTATTATTTTTATTTTTAATAAAAAAAAAAAAACAAAAAACAAAAAAAATTGATGATGATGATTGAAAAGCAGACAAAATGTTTATGTTTATGTTTATGTTTTGTTTTTAATTTGGTATTCCCCCTTGGTTGGGAGGAGGGGGGAAGGGAAAAGAGGGTTTACGATGATTTAATCATACGTCACGAGGATAAGTTAATAAATAAATAAATAATTATGTATATTCTTGTATTTATTTATTATTAAATAAAATTGAAGCCTTCACAAAATATCTTTAAAGCGAATCACAAAATATGAATATAAATATAAATATATATATGTATAAATGTAATTAATATAAATATGTTGTATATAAAAAAAAAAAAAATTCTAAAAAAAAAAAAAATAATAATTTTCCCGCCTTTTTTTTTTAAATTTAAAAAAAAATTTTTTAATAAATGTATTCGCGTATTGCTTATTATTATTATTATTAATTTTTTTTTTATAAAAATTTTATTGTCATCTTTTATGCTTAAAAAAAAAAAAAAAAAAAATTTAGAAATTTTTAAAACGTGTAAAATAATAATTTTTTTCTTTTCTTTTTAGGTTTTCTTTTTTTTGGCGACTTCAACGAGTTGACTTCCGGATAAAGAGAGAGATAGAGAGAGATAGAAAAAAAAAAAAATGTCGACTTGTAAATATTCTTCTAAAACGATGATCGTGATGAAGATGATGATGGCGAAGATGACGACGACGATGACGTGAATGATGACTTAGGCCTTCTTTTCCTGATCGATAACTAAAGAAATAAGAAAAAAAATTTTTCAAGGTACGGTGTGAGAGAGAGAGAGAGAGAGACATATATATGTAATATTATGTAGTTACCTTCTTTCGTTGGCAATGGATTTTTTTCCAATGTTTCCGTGTGTTTCAATTTCGTCGGATCGAAACTTTCGATACCGCTAATGAATTTCATTTTATCCTTTTCTAATTCGATGACTGCGGAAAACAAATCGTTTATCATTATTATTATTTCGAACAAATTAAAAAAAAAAAAAAATCGTGGAACTAGAAAAAAGGGGAGGAAGTTGACATCGTGTTGAACACCATACCTTCGCGATCCGGCAGAGGATTTTTTTCTTGCGTTTCCGCGTGTTTCATTGTTTTCTTATCGAAATGTTCGACTCCGTCGAAAAGTTTCTGATGAACTTTTTCTTGGTAAACGACTGTTAAAGCGAGACGTGGCAAAAGAAAAAAAAAAAAAAGGATTTCGAAAGGTTGTGGGAATGCGAACGAATGCAAACATGCAAAAAAAAAAGACAAAAGATTAAAAAAAAAACAATCGCAAACGAAAAAAAAAATGTTTCTTTTTCTTTTTCTTTCTTTCTTTCTTTTTCCACTTTCTCGCCCAAATATAGTTTTCTTTTTAAAAATTCTTTTATCATCACGAACGATTTTCCTTTTTCTTTCATATTATAATAATCAGTTTAGAAATACAAAAATGGCGTCAATGAAAAAAAAAAAAAAAAAAAAAAGAAAGTTAAGAAAGAAATTATTTTTTCAGGCGACAAAATTTTAATTTTATTATTATTATTATTATTTACTGCATGCTCCTATCGTCGTGTAAGAAGCAAAAACTAAAACAAACATAAAAAGCAAAAAAAACGAACGAGAATCGTTAATAATAATAATAATAATTTAATCACGACAAACAAACAAACAAACAAACAAACATGTTCGATTTTTTATTATAATTTACCTTCTTTGTCCGGAAGTGGATTTTTTTCATTTGTTTCCGTGTGTTTAAGTTTACTCGTATCGAAAGCTTCGACGCCCTCTAGAAGAGCTTTTTGAGTCTTTTCTGCTGCCACATCTAATGAGAAAAACATGAGAAAAAAAAAAAAAGCAGACAATTATAATCTTTGACACCGAAAAAAAAGGAAGAAAAAAAAAATGGCTGACTTCGGGGGGAAGGGGGCGGGGAGGGAGGGATTCGTTCGTTCGTTCGATGACATTTTACTTCTTGTAATTCAAACAAACAAACAATCGATAATTACCGATGATGTTGTGACGATTTTTGGCGCCTACCTACGACAATTTGACGACCAACACGAAAAGGAAAAGGACAAACAACAACCAGAACAACAACAACAACAACCGACATTTTACCGTGGAATAATGACACACGTGGATTTCGAAAATAATATTTGAAAACGTGAGTTTGTTCGATCGCTCGTTCGATTATTCAACACGATTTTAATTTTACGTGGAATAAAAAAACAAAACAAAATGGAAGAGAACCGGATATCCGGTTATAAAATAAAAAAAACACTGACCCACGTGATAAACGAAAAGTCACCGCAGGAAAACTTGTTTTTTTTTTTTTTTTTTTCTTGTGGTTTTTTTTTTTTTTTTTCTATCAAATTTATTTTTAAAAAAATTGTCACGTCTTTTCTTCCTACCTCTTTTTCTTCTCCTACTACCACTACTACCACCACCACCACCGCCGCCATCTCTCCCTCCCTTCCTTCTCTTTTTTTTGTCTTACGAATGTTTAACCAATCATTATCGATTACGAAATAATAATTATTATTATTCCAAAATCGACAAAACTTTCGCTCTTTTTCTTTTTATGGAAAAAACGAGAAGGCGGTGGTGGTTTTTTGGGCATTTCAAGTTTCCTTTTCTTCGTTTTTTTTTTTTTTTTCGGTGAAACCGGTCGTGTCAATAGAAAAGAAAAAAAAAAAAAAAAAAAAAAAAAGGAAAACTTACCTTGAGCAGATGGCAAAATATTTTTTTCTAATGTGTTGACATCTTTTAAATTTCTTTGATTGAAACATTCCAATTGTGATTTAAGATCGGTGTTTACTTTTGGAAGATCTTTTAAAGATGGACTCACTGGTGCGGCAGACATTTTTCCTCTTCAACACAAAAAAATACAAAAAAATTAAAAAATTAAAAAAACCGGGTATTAATTTTTTTAAATTTTTTTTTTCAGTCGAGCAACGAGCCGGATAATTTTTTATTCCGCCCTGCGCACATATTTAATTATTATTATTATTATCATTATCATCATCATTATTATCGAATGTATAACGTTACGGATTTAAAATCGCTATAAACTCAATTATCGTTTATTATTATTATTATTATTATTATTATTATTATTAATTTTTTTTTCTTTTTTCTTTTCTTTTCAGGTTATGCACTGCTTATCGAAGAAGTTGAATGAATAATAATAATAATGACTACGATATATTTTGTCTTGTATACGGCCCTGATTCTGCGGATTCAACCGAGTCGTTAACGGTAAACTACAAAAGGTAAGAAAAATTACTTTTCTTTTTCTATTTTTTTCCAATCGATGCCAAAATGCTTAGTGTGCCAGTAATGATTGATAATGATAATAATAATAATGATAATAATAATAATAATAATCAACCGATTACCGTTTTTGGTGGTATATAAAGGAAGATACCAGAATTGAAAATCTTTTTTTGTTTTCCAACCCGTGGCAGCGACGGTGAAAACTCACCAGACCGTTTAAATTTTTTTTTCTAAACTTCGCTCAAGTGAATATTTTCCGGTTTTTCCGAATAATAATAATAATAATTTAAACTTGAATTTTGAATTATCAAAACGATGATAAGGCAACAACGTGCAAGAACAACAACAAAAAAATTTTTTAATTTAAAACAATTGAACTGAATTTTTAATTTGAAATGATGATAATAACAAAGTCGTTAACATTATTATTATTATTATTATTTAAATTAATAAATAATAATAATAATTATTATTATTATTATGTGTGCTCGGTCAGCGTTGCGTTCATCTTTAATTTTTTTTTTTTTTTTTTTTTTTTTTTGTATTCATCAAGTTAATTATGTTCGTACGAAGGAAAATTAAACCGGTTTTCTCGTTTCGTTTCGTTTCTTTTATGTAGAATTGATTTCTCTTTAATTTGATTTTTTTTTTTTTAAATTTAATTTTCAATTGATGCCATTTGTGGTCGTGGTGGTGGTGGCGGTGGTGCAAGGTGGTACGTGTATGAAAAGGTGCCAACATGATAAAAAAAAAAAATTATCACACACACACACACACACACACACACACTCCTGGCGCATTTTTACTTTCTATATTCGTAGGGAGGGAGGGAAATTTTTTTTTTCATTTCGATTCTATTTTTATATATATTACGCCTATCTTTTAAACAATTAGTAAACGACACAATTGATAATAATAATAATAATAATAATAATAATAATAATAATAATAATAATAATAATAATAATAATAATGGTAAAAAAAGGGTTAAGGACATTCGAGACAGGTGCATGCGTACTCGTACCTTCTTTTTTTTTTTGCTTCTGTTCACAGAACAAAGTAAAAATAAAGACAAATAAAAAAAAAAAAAATGCTTGCAAATCATAACAAAAGAAACAACCTAAAATTTGATTCGTCGTACCATCAAGGTATTATTAAATTAATAATAATAATAATAATAAGGGGTAACCGAATATTTTTTGCTTGCACAATGAAAAAAATGATTGGTCGTAAAAAAAAAAAAAAAAAAAAAATGTCAATGAAGAGGACGCTCGAAATGTTTGTTATAATTATATGATAGATATATATATAGATGAGTTAAGGTTATTTTAAGACAACAAACGACAACAACAAACAACAATTTCCTATTTGGGAAAATGGAAAATTTGTCGTACTTTTTGGTTGTGTGCGTGTGCGTGCGTGCGTGCACGGAGGTTAACGACAGATGATATTTGATCCCATTGTTCGCATTGCCATTTTCATTTCATTTCTTTTCTTTTTGTTTAATCGTGTCAAAAAATATGCAATTTAGGTTAATATTGACACAACAAACATTTTGTTTGTTTGTTTGTTTGTTCGCGAATAGTAAGTAGGCTCTAAAGGAGCCTTTGACCATTGTAATACGACACAGGTTCAAAATATTATTATTATTCAAATTTCAAGTGGAAAATCTTTTAGTTTTTTTTTTTTTTTGGGGGGGGGGAAAGAAAATCAAATTTTAATTTTAAAAAAATACTTTTGTTTGTTTGTTTGTTTGTTTGTTCGATTGTGACAAAATTAAATCTTGGGAAAACCCGGGGCCCTTTACGTCGAACTCTTTTCACCGTTACACAAAATTGTTTACCATTTAAGGAATAAATGAAGATTGAAGTTAGGTAGGTCGAGGTGACCGGGCACGGCAGACAGAAAACAACTGCATCAAACATTTTTCGTCAAAAAAGGCAAAGACAACACACGTGTGCGAACACGCACAAAAAAAAAAAAACTGTTACGACCGTGAGAAGGGGGGGACGCTACATAATAATAATAACTGGATGCTACCAATCAAATTTACAAAATGACGACGAAAGACGAAAACAAACGATAAAAAAAAACAAACAAACAAACGAACAAACAGCAAACATCACTGACAGGGTAAAAAACAAAAAGCCCAGGCCACCGACACCATAAAGTCTTTCATGCAATTTGCACACTCGATCATCATCATCATCATCATCATCGTACACTCCACGATGATGATGATGATGATGATTTACACCGGGTTACTTTCGGTCAATTGTTGTTTCCATGCATCTTTGCACGCGGTTGTATCTATAATAACTTTTTTCAATTGACTACACCGAAATGAACGAATTTAATATTAACCCCCCCTCCCCCCCCCGATCTCACGTTAAAATTTACAATTCGAGTGCGTGCACACTTTTAAAAAATAACGAACTTTTTTTTTTTGTTTACGTAATGAAAATGCGGTCATTTTACAATTAATGTCGTGTGAAAAAAAAAAAAAAATCTACGCACAATGAGTTTAAATATTTATAAACGCATACATACATAGTAGTCACACGCACGCACGCACGCACGCACGCACACGGCAATTGAACTTATTACTCATTTCCATTATTATTATTATTATTATTATTATTATTTGAATAATATTGTGTTGCGCATTCAATACAATTGGAATTCTCAATGCCAACCAATAAAACCTAATTCCTTTTTCGCTAAATTATTTTCAAGTTTTTTTTTTTTTTTTTTAAATCTGATATTTTATGTACAATTGAAAACCTTTTCAATTAGGTACGATGTAAAAAAATTGAACCTACGGCAAATAATAATAATAATCGATAAAGTTAGAAATGTGAGTCTGACTCGGGTCGGCCTTTGCCACTTGGCCTCCATTGTACAAACAAACAACAAACAACAAACGGTCTAACAATTTCATCAACGTTAGTACCTGAGAGTTAGTACCTGTGTGACTCATTTGGGAATCAATGACGACGATGCCATTTATAAAATATTTCAATTAAAATAAATTACGTTTAGTTTTTTCCATATTGAATTAACCGGGGGGTGGGGGTAGAGGAGGGGGAGAAAGAGAGAGAGAGAGAGAGAGAGAAATCAAAATTAGTAGGGGGGAAGTAATAATAATAATAATAATAATACAAATCGAAGACGAACAATAATTTATTATTATTATTATTATTTGCTTAACAATGTACTATTTGGTGGTACGAATGCATACATATTTTTTTAGGTAGGCGATAAAACCTGACCGCGAACAAATTTGACAATTGAAAAAAAATTAAGGTAGAGTCAAATTATTATTATTATTATTATTATTATTATTATTATTTTTTTTTTTTTTTTTTACGAATCAACGACCGAAAACAAACAAACAAACAAACAAACGGGAAAAAAAACCTTATCAAGAAGAATGATATCGGAGTTTTATTTATTTCTTCGGGAAAATAATAATAATAATAATAATAATAATAATAATAATAATAATAATAATAATAATAATAATAATAATTAATTAGCGTTAATTTTAAAATCAATTAATTTCATATCAACATGTTTTGTCTGGTTGGTTTAAAAACAAAAAAATCTTGCATCGACCTACCCGAACCTGTGTCATGATAATAATAATATAATCCGAACATTTTAAAAATGGCCGACCGACCGCCATAAAAAAAAAATGATTATTGATTATTGATTATATTGATTCCTATTAATTATCAATTTAATTATTTAACGACAGAAAAAAACTAAAAAAAAAATTTAATTATTTATAAACATCTGCTAAACATTTGGTGTTGAAAAAAACTCACAACAGTAAAACATAAGAAAAAAAAAAAAAAAAAAAATAATAATAATAATAATAAAATTGAATGAGTCATTTCATGTTTTCTTGTCAACAAAATTTTTTTATGAGAAGGATTTAAAGGGATAAAATCTATAAGGGAGCTTTTAAAAGCATTGGGGCGTTTGTCTGCAAGAGAGAATTTATAGAAAATGTGTTTAAATAACAATTTTTTTGGATTCTGATTCATTTTCGGTTTGAATAATGCTCATGATAAATATTATTATTTTTTGAAGCAAGATGGTTTCGAATCATTCAAACAAGAATTTTTTGTAAATGGTTGTGAGTGCGAATGTGTGTGGGAATAAAGTTATGTAAAAAGTAGTAGTAGTAACAACAACAACAACAACAACGACAACATTTTGCAAAAATATTTGGAAAAAAAAAAAAAAAAAAAGTTCACATAAAGATTATTATTATTATTATTCATTCCTATTTTGCATCGAATAAACTCATGTTTCCTAAAAAATACATTATTATTATTATTATTGTTTGTAATTTGTGTGAAATGCAATTCTTTTTTTTTTTTTTTTTTTGAAAATGTTATTGTTTAAATATTATTATCATGTATAATAGACAATAGTTTAGGCTTGGTTTATTTATTGTTTAACTCAATCTATCTATTTTTTATTGTGTTTCGAGTGCAATCCATTATTATACTATAATTTGACACTCGAATAGATCATCATCATCATCATCATCATCGATGATTTTTCAAGTAACTATTATTCGAAAAAGGTTTTTTTATTGTTTTTTTTTTTTTGTAATTCTATCAGGATTTTTGTTTTTTGGTTGTAAATGAGAACAAAATAAAAGTTTGGTTGTTGTTGTTGTTGTTACCAAAATATATGACTAATTATCGATACACATAATTATTGTGCTTGACTAAACAAAAAAGAGAAAAAATAGGCTCACAGTCTGACTGAACTTTAATTAAAGTTTATAAAATAGAAAAATAAATAAATAAATTAATTAATTAAATATTATAAAATTTAAAATTAAATAAAACAAAATAAATTTAACTTAAATGAAATTATTAGGTGGGGGGGGGAGGAGGATTAATAATAATTTGAAACGTAAAAAAAAAAAAAAAAAAATATTGAATTTTGATGCATGCTCAAACAATTTTCAAAAAAAAGTTTTAAAATTTTAATTGAATAATTTTAAATAGAATAAAATAAAAATGAATTATTAAATTTAGGAAAACGTTTAATAATTTTAAAATTTAAAAAAAGCCGGATGGTTAATTATAATTTTTTAAACAAAAAAAAAAAAAAAAGAAGAGAATTTTTAACATGGGAATGGGGATTATTATTAGTGCATTAAAAAACCAACAAAAAATTTTCATTCTCGAACGTTTTTTTTTTTTTTTTTTTAAATAGAAAAATATGAATGAAATTTATCCCAAATCATTTTTTTTCTAATAAAAAAAAAAAAAAAAGAGTTAAATAAAAAAGTTTTTTAAAAATAATATTCATATTAACCACACCCCAATGAGTAACCAACCATTTATTATTTGGTAAATCGGTAAATAAAAATTTGACGTTTTCAAATGATACACAAAAAGTTAATGGATGTAAAATTAAATTTATAATTTAAAAATAAGAAAAACTTACCAAATTTAATTTAAAATATAATGTAATATATATAAACGTGGCACAAATAATTTCAAAAAGTTTTTAAAAAAATAAAAACGATGATTATTTATTAACTCTAGCTTGTATATTGTAATTCTATCAACTGATCATTAAAGTATAAAACCCCCACAATCAACGTACTCGCATTTAAGGCGTGAGTTTTTTTTCGTTGTCGTGGCAGTAGATAAGCTCATTGAAAGTACCGCCCACAAATGAAAACTTGATTTAATTCAAAAAAAAAAAGGCTGTTAATGACATTATTAATTACAGTTTTCAATATACTTTTTTCGTTTGATAATAAATAAATATCGAGAATATCGTATAAAAAATAATTATAATTATTTAGTAAATTACATTTGGATACATTCTAATAAAAAAAATATAATTAAAACAAGTGTAAAAAAATAATAATGATGTTATTAAATTTACTAGTTGATTTGTAATTCTCTTTCAAGTTCTTCTAATTCTAAAGTTGAAATTTTACTGGTCAAAATATATCTGAGAGATAAACTTTGTAGAGATTCTAATGATGATATAATTGATTTTTCATTTCGAAACGTTTGCCACAATTTCGCAGCTTCTTTTTTATTTCCAACTTTGATTAAATATTTACAATACGTGTAAAGAACGTCTTTATCACCCTTGTTACAACTAATTCCACGTTTAAACATTTTATCAACATTTAAATTATTGTTTTTTAAAATTAACACCTCTGCGATGCTTAAACAAATTTTACTCGTGAGAGCTTTAATTAATATCGATATTATTTTTTCCGATTCGATCATATTTTTAGTTTTTGTTGTCAATTTCGATAAAATGGCGGAAAAACAATGAAATATTTTTTTTAACGTTTCAACATATTCATCTGAATTTTGAATTTTTTGAATTTCAGACATAATTATGAGCGCAATGACATTTTCGGGTAAAAAAAACAACATGTCTTCCGAATATTTGTATTCGTTAGATCGTTCTTCAACGATAACGTCACATTCTAAAAGTTCAATTTCGATAATCCTTTTCAACCAATCGACATCTTTGTCTAAAAGTGATTGATTTTGTTTGAGGATCGAAGGAAATTCTTCCGGATAATATAAATCGATTGCTTTGTTAGCGAATTCTTCTGCTTTTGATAAATCACCGGCTAGCAGGTTTGTAATGGATGCTTCGTGTAAAATTGTTATTTTCCCCGGGATTTCTATCAATCTTTTTTTTAAAATGTATTCTGGTAGTACAAATGAGTATTCGAGAACTTTTTCAAATGCTTCAGCCGATTCTTCATAACTCTACAATCATAATTACATTATTAAAATTCATTTTTTACTTTTTATTTATTTATATTAAAACCTACCTCGCTTAAACCGTATGAAACAGCTAATGCATACACAGATTCAACTTCTGAAACTTCATCATTTACATGCAGCCAATTAAGAATGAAATCTTGGAAATTTGCATTTTTATTTTTTTCCTTTTCATCGTTTAACATTATCTAAAAAATATAGAATTGTTAAGTGTTAATTAAATCTTTTCCGAAATCAATAATCATAATAGAAGAAATATTAAATAAATAAATATATACCTTATATAATTCTTCATATGTTTCAACCATTAGGTCATAAATACCCATTTGACCCCATTGACTGCCGATATGAAAATGAATCAATGGATTTTTAGGATGAATTTTTAAAGCTTCATTAAAAAATTTTAAAGCTTCTTTATGATTATTCATATCACAGTTCAATTGTCCTTTTAAAATTAAAAATTTTAATTTTAAATTGTCTGGTAGAAAATTCATATTAATTTTAGATAAATAATTTGAACAAATATTTTTTTTATTTAATTTATATGAACTTAAAGCACCCAGGTAATCATTAAGAATTGTCAAATTTGTGAATTGATTTTTAATAATTGAATTTAAACATTCTTTGTAGTCTCCTAATAAAAAATAAATTGTTGAATTTAAAATTTGTAAATATTCTACGATAGAATTTTCCATATCGAAATTAGTAGAAGTTATTTTATGCAAACCGAACTTGAAATAAAAAATTTTTTTTTGCGATTTATCATCGATAGAAAGTTTCATAAATTCAAAATTGGGAATATTATATAATAATTCATTAGAAAAATGAGATGAAATTTGCAAACATTGTTTTGAGTATTTTAAATCTAATTTTAAAATAATCATTAAAATAACAATAATTAATTCAATTACTAACAAAATAGTTTTCGGGTTATCTTTTTCAGCCAGACTTAATAATTTTATTTTATTTTCAAAAATTTTTTCTGTTATTTTTAAATGACCAGCATTTTGATGATTGATACCTATAACTAAAAAAGTAAAATTAAAAAGAAATGTTTTTTTTTTGTGAGTATTGTATATAGTAATGCAGAGGTAGAAAGATAAAAATTTTACTTTGACACAATTTTTGATTAATCATATTTAATTGCTCTTCGTCATCGACTTCCTCAGTGTCAAAATTCGATTGAAATAATATCCACCAACAAAAATTAAAAACAGAAATTAGTTTTAATTCGATTGGAATCATTTCTGAAAGGTTTCCAACTGACGTTACATTCTCACAAAAATTATTCAATTTTTTTTCCATTTCTAATTGTTTAGATGAATCATTTTCTAATACGCTAACCTAAAAAATAATAAAAATTTATCAATACTTTGTCAATTGATTTTCACATCAAAATTTTAAATAAAATAATAAAATTTAGTTTTGAAATTAAAAAGTACTTTTATTTACCATAGATTCGCATACTAGAGAACAATTTTGAATAATGAAATTATTTAGTAAATTTTCATCAGGAGGTATTAGTTTTATTAATTCTAAACATTTTTGAAACTTTCCCTTATTATATCGTTCTAAAATTTCATCCATTATTAACTAACTAACAATTATTAATTTTAAAAACTCTTCATTTTTTTTAACATAAACATTTTTCTGTTATGAAATTTCTTAAATCGAAGTGGCACTAGTATAGGCGAATGCATAAAAGGAAGTTTGAAAAAATTACTCTATGATTTTGAAGAACACATGTGGTAAAAGTGCTTCTAATCCAAATCTATTTACGTCGCTTCCTGTTAGCCATTTTGTTCCAAAATGGGTATTTCAAGAGATCACTGGCATAAGAGGCGTCCTACTGGAGGAAAAAGGAAACCTATTAGAAAGAAGAGGAAATTTGAATTAGGACGTCCAGCTGCTAATACGAAATTGGGACAACGTAGGATACATACGGTTCGTACACGCGGTGGTAATAAGAAATATCGTGCTTTGCGTTTGGATCATGGCAATTTCTCATGGGGATCAGAAAATTGTACTAGAAAAACAAGAATAATTGAAGTCGTATACAATGCTTCTAATAACGAATTGGTAAGAACGAAAACCCTTGTTAAAAATGCTATTGTCACTATCGATGCCACACCATTCAGGCAGTGGTATGAAAGCTTTTACATTACTCCATTGGGAAGAAAGAAAAGTGGAAAATTAACAGAAGCTGAAGAAGCCGTTCTTAGTAAAAAGAGGTCTAAAAAACTCATTAAGAAATACAAGGCTAGGCAGAAAAATTCCAAGGTGGAACCAGCATTAGAAGAACAGTTCCAAAATTCACGTTTGTTAGCATGTATATCGAGCAGACCTGGTCAGTGTGGTCGTGCTGACGGTTACATACTTGAGGGAAAAGAGTTGGAATTTTATTCGAGAAAAATAAAAGCTAAGAAAGGAAAGTAAAAAGTGATTTTATTCATAAGCATTATGTAAAAGAGTTTTTAAAATTATAATACATAATGTTTTATCCATACGTGGTATTTATCGTTTCATTCTCCTTTGTGCCTTCTGGTATTATTATTTATTAAAAAGATTGGTTTTACTTCTCTAATATATTCTTTATTTGCTATATTCTTATTCTCATTATTAATTGATTCATCACATGAATAATATTTGAAAATAATATTTATTAATAATCTACTTCGATTAAAAATTTAACTGAATTTCTAAGAATAGGCAATTATTTAAATGAAAATTTGCTTTTTACATTTCTTAAATATAAAAGTATAGAATTCTTGACCTAAACTTCATTAATGATTTATATATTGATTAAAAATTAATTTTTTTTGCAAGCTTTTTATCGATATCAAAGATTTCAAATTTTAAATATGAATACTCAAAGCAGTCATATTCAAGGATCTTTAAAATAAAATTAAATAGTGATAATAGTAGGGATAAATGAAAAATAAAACATTAACTTAAATTAAATATAATACAGTTCTTTTTTTAAATTAATTCAGTGCTATTATAATGATATTAAATAATTTAAAATTAATTCAAAGAATTATGAGGTAAAATTAAATTACAATACTTGTGATTGAGAGATCCAGTCAACTGGATTTTTCAAAATATTTATTAATTTTTCTTCTTTAGAATCTGGCTTAATTGAGTGCATGTATTCCCATTTCTGAAATTAAAATATTTCTTAAAAAAATTCTATTTAAAAAAAATTTGTGTAATAAAATTTACTTATAAAATACTCACAGCATTTAATGGTAGAGAAACGAGAATGCTTTCGAATCTAGCATCTGGAGTAAAAAGTCCAAATTTTGTTCCTCTATCATAAAGTAAATTAAATTCAACATATCTTCCTCTTCTCAAAAGTTGCCATTGCCTTTCGGCATACCCATAGGCATCCTCTTTGTGTTTTTTAACAATTGGTATATATGAAGGGATTACTGCCTCTGCACATTCTTTAACAAAATTAAATGCATCATGTTTTGTAGGTGATTCTAAATCATCGAAAAATATTCCACCTATTCCTCTTGTTTCATTTCTGTGCTTAATGTGAAAATATTCATCACACCATTTTTTAAATGTAGCATAGTAGTCTTTATCATGTTTGTCACAAGCATTTTTAAGTACTGTGTGAAATTGAATAAAATCTTCTTCATCAACATAATAAGGAGTTAAATCGGTGCCACCTCCAAACCACCAATGTGATAAACCATCTGCCTCTCTTGTTTCAAAATATCTATAGTTAAAATGTAGGGTTGGAACCATTGGATTTCTAGGATGAATAACAGCACTAATTCCTGCAGCAAAAAATTTTATGGGACCTTTGCTTAAAGCTTTACCCCTGAAAGTCGATGATTTTTGTAATTAAAATACACATGTTATCTTCTAACGTTAAACATAAAGTATAGAATTTATTAAAAATTAATTAAACGAAACTAATAAAGTAGAATTCGTTATTATAAAAATATTAAAAATTTAACCTGCTTCTCATTTGAGCTGCTGCCTCTTCAGGTAGTACACCATTAACAACTGACACATTAACTCCTGCTTTTTCAAAAACCATTCCTTCCTGCATAACACAAGTGATTCCACCTCCTCCTCCATCTTTCCTCAACCATCGATCAACTTTAAATTTGACTTCTTTGTCGTTTTCTTCTTCTTCAAGCGCATCACAAAATTCTTTTTGTATTCTAAGTATTAGGAGTTCCATTTGAGCTTTAATATCAAATTTTTTATTTTTTTCCAATTCATTAATATCCGTTACAGGTTCTGCTTTAAATTTATTTGTATCTATTGTACTACCGGACATAAAAGCCGGTTGAAAATATGAATGATAACTTGCCACACCAATTCCTGTAACTACAGCTGCTAAACATCTAAAATAAATGTTTTACTCATTAATAAAAACTAATAATTAGACTTGAGAGATTGATAAAAAAACATTATTGATAAATTTCACACAGTGAACATTTAAACATTTATTAAATAAAATCTATTTTTTTTTTTCTTACTTTACTCTATTTTTATTGAATGCTAGTTTTTTTGTGAATAACCCTAAAGTTCCTTTGGTACATTTAAAATAAAATGCTTTAAAACTCATTATTATTTTTTTTTTTACTTTAATTATATTTTCAATTACTTAAATATATATATATATTTAAAAATACAAAGTAAAAAAAAAAAATTAATTAAAGTTGGCAATAGTGTTGCGTGTTAGATTATTTGTAATCTATGTTAAGTTGCGTATTAATTAAATTAAAATTATTATTAATTGTTTTTTTATTGTTGTTAATATTTTATAACGTTATTACTAAATAGTTTTTTTTTTTTTTAAATGTTTATAAAATTACGTTGACGTTTAATAACGACAATGAATAAAATATTTTAAATTAAATCTCGTAAATTGTACGCGTTAAGTAAGTACGTTGTTGTCTCTCTCTCTTTTTTTTTTTTTTTAATAATTATTTAAAAATATATTCGTACGTGTGATTTTAAACAATTTTTCTAAAATTATATAAATCTTTTGACTTAATTTAAAAAAAAAAAAAAAAACTAATTTGTCTAAATTTTGGTTAAAAAGAGATAGAGAGTGATAGAAAGAGAGGAACAAGATGTTTTACTCTATGGTCTGAACGTGTTAACAGCTGATTTCGAAAGAGGAATGAATCGATAATTTTTGACGTGAAATTGATCTTTTAATTGCTCAATGTTAAATACATATTTTATTTTTGTTGTCGTCAATTTTTACATCGCGTATATAGTTATGATAAAAATAATTATGATATAAATTACGATTAATTTACGTGTAAAATAGTTATAGTGTTCACGCACGCTTTGATTTCTATAAAGTTTCCTCGGAGAAAAGTGAAAAATGACAGTCGCAGTAAAGAAGAGTCCACCCCTCGCCATTACCCAAAAGCCTGTGCTGCAGTTTTTTCGATTCTGCCATAATGAAAAGACCCATATATAAAACGGTTATTTGTGAAAAAGTGATTTTTGTGTTGTAATATCTTTTTTTTTTTTTTTTTTCTTTATCCCCTTTTTTCTCTCTCTCTCTTTCACGGGAAAACCAAATAAAAGTTAATTTCATTCTAATATATATATATATAAAATTCGTTTTTTTTTTTTTTTAAAATACGTGTTAAAATAATTATTAAAATAAGTGTTATTTTTTAATCGGTATTAATAATACTAAATAGTTTTTTTTTTTATTATATTAAATGGAGGTAAAAAATATCATAAGGAAATATTAAAAAAAGAAGAAAAAAAATGAAAAAATTCACCTTAAAAGGTGTTTTGGATGGATTTAGATCATCCGTCGCCAATCAGCAATCTAGAATTGATCAAGAAATTGTTGAAACATTAAAATCTGACAGCTTTCAAGTTGCTAAGGTAGGAAAATTACCGGTCATTTTCTTTTTTTTGCAATCAAAAATGGATTTTGTTTTATATATTTTTTTGCATTTCATTCTTCAACTGATTATTTTTTATTTTATTTTGTCGTTGATATAAATTTTAATACTATCTATGCGGGCTGATAATAATTATTGCTAACATCTGTTTCCTGGGTGTATAAAAAAAGATGAGGCACGGTTATTAACAATACACATACAAACAAACAAACAAACAACAACATATTAATCAATCAAACAATTTTATGTTTTGTTTTACTTAAAAGAAAAAAAACGGTTTCTTTTAAGTAGTAAAACAAAACCATTAGATACCCACTACCTACCCTGTAAAGATAGCATATTATTAATTCACATCTAATCAATTGAATTATTTGATTATTTGGGGAGGGATTGGGGGAGGGGTGGGGTAGGGAGACTTATAAAACAAAAAGACATTCTAAAGAATCTTGAACATGAACAAAAAAAAAACAGTTTTTATTATTAACAAAAAAAAAAAAACAGCAAAACAAAAGGTGTTTCAATGTTTTGCCAGCTAAACAAACATTTGCATCGGTTTTTCCCCCCTCCCCTCCCCTTCTTTTTTTTGCCTCCCCCCCTCTACTACCGAATACGTTTAATCAAGAATAAAGTTAATTAATTTTTTTTTTTTTTTGCTTTTTTTTTCTTTGAGATAAAAAAAAAAAAAAAAAAGGAAAAAATTTGTTTGCTTTGAATTTTAAATGTGACACAGGGATAATAATAAAGTCACAAAAATAGTTAGTTCCCACGGATTATTATTATTATTTTTTTTTTACTGTATAATAATAATAATAATAATAATAGTTAGTAACTAATTTTCGGTTTTAAAACAAAAAACCTGACACCATTGAATTTATCATGTATGTGTATGTGGGAGCAGGATCGATATCTAACAATAAGTTTAATAATATTTTTTTAAAAATAATAAGCAGTCATGAGTTGTTGTTGTTGTTGTTTGTTGTTGTTTTCTTCTTAACAAAAAAACTCGTAATGGCTAAGAATTATAGTTAAAATTATATAAAGTTTCGGTAAGACTTATCGTAAAAGCAAAAAAAAAAAAGGAAAAAAAATTTTATGGTTTTTAATTTTAGAAAAAGGAAAATAAGAAAACTCACATACTCAAACATAATTGCATATCATTAAACGAATGAATTATTTTATATTTTTTAAATGTGAGGGGGAAGGAGTGGGGAGAGAGTAGGGAAGGAGGAAAATCTTTTTTTTTTTTTTTTTCGAATATAAAATTTGATTATCTAATTTGTTAGAGAGAGAGAGAGAGAGAGAGAGGGAGAGAGAGAGAGAGAAAAGGGAATTACATACTCTTAAAACGTCAATAAAATTTCTTTTTTTTTACGGTGGATTTCGAAAAAATCCATCCTCTTGACGGCCGCCATTTTGTTTTTATTAACGAAACGAATTTTTTTTTGCTAATTTTCACACTTTTTATTTATTTCGATTGTTTGAACTGAATTATGATATACTTCCCAAAAAAAAGTTATTTATTACTATTTATAATTTTTTGTCAAAACTTTCAATTAGGTGTTAAAAAAAAAAAAAAAAAGAATTTATAATTATAATTTAATTAACAATTACTTGTCGTAATTGACATTTTTAAAAAAGGCAAAGAAAATTTTTTTGACGTGTAAGGAGATTAGTCGAATACACGGAAATGATGAAAAAACGTTATGAAAATATTAACGGAAGTACAAAAGCTTTCTCTCTCTCTCTCTCTCTCTCTCTTTCTCTTGGTTTTTTTAATTACAAACGAAATTTTCTTTTTTTCCTACCAGGGAAAATATTATAATAATAACGGTTATTATTATTTTCGTAATGAATTAAGTAGCGGGAGAGAGAGAGGGGGGGGTTCAAGGTATCGATTGTTGATTTATTTCGATATATATCGATTCGTCGTCGTCGTTGTTGTCGTTGTCGTTGTTATTGTTTTTTTTATTTTTTATTTTGATTGTTTACTTTTATTTTATAATATTTATCACATCTTGTTTCACGTATTTGCCTTCTTTTTTATGCGTGATCAAACAATTCTGCCGTTGGTTTTTTTGTTTTTTTTCGTCGTATTGGTTGTTGGTTGTTGCATCTGATCGAATAAACTACCCGTTTGATTTTGTTCTTTTTTCCGCCATTTTACCTTCGTTCCCTCATTAAAATCGTTTATGAAACTTATTTAAAACTTTCATTTAATTACTCAAACGATCGATCGATCGATCGATTGATTATTTATTTATTAATGATGTTAATTCAATTCACTTTCACGATGCATTTTGTTATAAATAAAATATTCTGTTGTTGTTGTTGTTGTATTCGGTTGGTTGTTTTCACAAAAATGGCGATTTAATATTTACGTTCGTTTTTGTTTTTCCATATCTTATCTATTGATGCATTTTTATTTTAATAAAAGTTACTCTGAACTTTCGTTCTGGAAATTTAAATAATAATAATGATAATAAGTAAAGTTATACAACGTAGAAAAGTTTTTAATGTTTTGGAATGGTAATAAAAATAATATTTTAATTAAGGTTTGTGTGTGTGTGTGTGTGTGCGGGGGGCATAGGGGGGGGGGGTGTTGTAGCTTTGTAAGCGTCAAAAAGAAGAAAATTTCTCACATAAATTTAAATTATCGAACCGTGTTGTAGTTCAAAATGTTATATATATATATATATATTGATTTTGCGTCTTCTGATTTTTTTAATCCGGATGAAATAAGGGGATAAATGTAAATGTTTTGATTAAAATTCCCATAATATAAATTGCACCTGTATTATTAACATTCTGACTCATTATTATTATTATTATTATTATTATTATTATTATTATTATTATTATTATTATTATTATCATTGTTTTTAAATTAAAATTTATTTTGTGTTTCCCATTTCCCCTCTTTCTCTACCTCACTCCCTCACTTCCTCACTCTCTCCCTTACCGATTCCTTCGATTTTTCATTTCGTTTTTCCTTATTTTTTTTTTTTTTTAACGGTGATTTTCTTTCTCTCCTCTCTCTCTCTTTTTCTTTTTAAAGTCTTTTATTATTATTATTATTATTATTATTAATCATTCGCTAATAAATTAAAAAAGAGAAAAAGGATTAAAAATTTTTTTTTTTATTTTTTTTTTTACCATTGAAATGAAAATTCGACTGACGACGACGACGACGACGACGACGACGACGACACTTTCATCATTCGTTGGAAAATTAAATTTTTAAAACTTTTTTTTTAATAATAATAATTTTTTTTTTTTTTACTGTAAAATAATAATGATAATGATAATAATAAAAAGTGAAACTTTTATAATTTTTTTTTTTTATTTGTTAAAATTATTATAAAATCTGGAGCGTGCAAAATAATAATAATAATAATAA